CTTCCCAATACGCAACAAGAGGGACGTCGCCAGCAACAGCGACTTTGAGACCAACTTCTCTTTCATCTCCTGAGCTACGATATAATTCCTCCTTAAGTAGAACCCTATCCATATAGCTTAACAGCATTGTATTCACCGGGCAGCCAGCTCTCATGCGAGGTGGCAGGGACTTGGTAAACCCTGGCGGTATACGTTCCATCGATGCGGGGGTGCTACCGGGCAGAGGCTCGCATATGTTTAATCTCCGTAGTACTGGCTGAGAAAATGTTTGACTAGAATAAACTCTTAACACTACCAGAGGGTGGAGATGGAGCTCGCTGGTTCTGACAGTTTGTGATCGAACTTTTTCCCCCCCCCCCCCCCCCCCCAGGAAGTAGTTGCAGAGCGCAAGACAGATTTGTCGTCATCGATAGTTGCTGCGTTGAGGCCCATAGAGCTGATACAAGAAATAGTTAACGTCGACCCCATGGACCCCAAGTTCGACCTTGAGGCCTACTTCAACAACCTGGTGAAGCAGAACCCGTAAGATGGATGATCGCTTGGTATGGGGGACGACTTGCACAACGGATAGACAGGGTCAGCATCGGGAATACGCCTGCACAAAGAGACCACGAAGGGTCCTTGCAAGGGACTAATAATCCGGTCTTTCGGCAGCAGTAGGTGCATGGAAGGCGCTACGCCTGATGTCACTGCATAGACATTTCCTTACGTCTGTTTACCGGTGTACATGTGTACAATACGCTCAACTAGATGACAATTCCAAGGGACGAGCCATTGGATGATATTCATCACTTTTCTCTTGTATAGGGGTTGAGTCCTTGGCAATCGCCGGTAGACTGCAAGGAGGCAGAGACAGGTCGGCAAGTGTTCGTTCGCATTGACTTGCAATGCTGAATGGGGCTTCTGTTCGCCTTTCTGCACTGCCAGTCTCATGGTGCTATGATTCTTCATGCTCTTTGCGGCAGCTTCCTGGCAAATAATATAGAAACGCCTCGTCTCGGGAGAACGAACTAATCATTTTATCCCTATCAGCGATACCTATGGACGAACTGAAAATAGCTATCTAAAGCATGGTACGGAGTAGACCTTAGGCAAATCTCATATCAGGAATTGAACGAGAGTTCCCATATGATCCCATGTTCGTTCGATTGTGAGTATGAATGGAGAATATGTCTTGTACTCTACTCCGCGTCATCAGATTGTTCAGTTTGACATCTCAGAGCCCATACCTCGACATCCCAACGCTAGGCCGGCCACCCCGGATTCTATCGACGCGGGTCATCCTTTGTCCGAAGCACGTGATGCAAATACATACATTGTATCCGTACTCCGTACATTTGGGTACTGTGGAAGCCACGACTGGGGCGCTTGTCAGTGGGCCACTGGGCCATTGGACTGCACCAAACTGAATGAGTCGACTCCTTTGGACCGTGCACCTGCCCCCCCTGCCCCACGGATTCAGGTGCATAAGCTCCAAGCTGTCCTTCTCAGATACCGACCCGGTGAGACAGTAGGTTGTCGTCGCTAGCTTCATTTCGCAACCTTCACAATCAAGGCCACTGCCTCTTCACATCAATCGCGGCCAAAATGACGGCCAAACCTCTGGGTCCCCTCTCCGGAGGCAGCAACGAGAATACTAGAACTGTTTTAAGAGTTACCATCTTGTCTCTGATCGCTGCTGCTGCTGTTGCCAGTCGTCTTTTCTCCGTCATTCGTAAGTGCCCCTCGACACTTTGCTCATGGTCGCCTCCCCTCCCTCACCACCACCAATTGACGACCGGGGGCTTCTTTTCTTAACCGTTCTGGATATATGCTAACTTCAATGATTTAGGCTTCGAGAGTATCATTCACGAATGTTCGTTTTCCTTCGCTCGAGGCACCTTCACGCTTCCGGTACTAATTGTGTTCTAGTCGACCCCTGGTTCAACTTCAGAGCTACAAAATATCTTGTCGCCAATGGATTCTACAAGTTTTGGGATTGGTTCGATGATCGCACCTGGCATCCTCTCGGTCGGGTTACTGGAGGAACCCTCTACCCTGGTTTGATGGTAACCAGCGGCGCCATTTACCACGCGCTCCGCGCTCTTACCATCCCCGTTGATATCCGCAACATCTGCGTCCTTCTCGCGCCCGCCTTCTCCGGCTTGACCGCCTACGCCGCTTACCTCCTCACCAATGAGATGACTACCTCGCCTTCGGCCGGCTTGCTTGCAGCTATCTTTATGGGTATTGCGCCTGGTTACATCTCTCGGTCGGTTGCTGGCAGCTATGACAACGAGGCTATCGCCATTTTCCTTCTTGTCTTCACCTTCTTCCTGTGGATCAAGGCACTGAAGCTGGGCTCTATGCTCTGGGGAGCTCTTTGCGCCCTGTTTTACGGCTACATGGTTGCCTCGTGGGGTGGTTACGCTTTCATCACTAACATGCTGCCCTTGCATGCCTTGACCTTGATTCTTATGGGTAGATACAGCGCCCGTCTCTACGTCAGTTACACCACCTGGTACGCTCTTGGGACCTTGGCCAGCATGCAAATCCCGTTTGTTGGCTTCTTGCCCGTCAAGACCAGCGAGCACATGCCTGCCCTGGGTAAGTTAAAGCCCCCACCCATTTAAGTGTCGCCGACTAATCTGAAAAACAGGCGTCTTCGGCTTTCTGCAGCTCGTCGCCTTCATTGACTATGTGAGAGGCGCCATCCCTAGTCGCCAGTTCCAGACCTTCGTCTACACATTCCTGGCTGCGACTTTTGGCATTGCGCTCGCTGGCCTGGTAGCCCTGACCTCTTTTGGTTACATTGCCCCCTGGGGTGGTCGTTTCTATTCTCTCTGGGATACTGGATACGCCAAGATCCATATCCCCATCATCGCTTCCGTTTCCGAGCACCAGCCCACTGCTTGGCCTGCTTTCTTCTTCGACCTCAACATGCTGGTCTGGCTGTTCCCTGCTGGAGTGTACCTTTGCTTCCAGAACCTTAGGGACGAGCATGTCTTCATTGTCGTCTACGCCCTTTTCGGCACATACTTCGCAGGTGTCATGGTGCGCTTGATGCTCACTCTGACCCCCGTCGTGTGCGTTGCGGCGGCCATTGCGGCCTCGCAGATCCTCGACACCTACATGGTTTTCAAGTCACCCAATCCCGAAGACTACAAGCCTGAGGATGCCATTGAGGGAACCCCCAAGAAGGCTGGAAAGGGTGGACTCAAGTCGACCAACAAGCCTGTCGTTGGCATATACACTTTCCTTTCTAAGGCAGTTGTTGTCGGCGGCATGTCTATCTTCTTGCTTCTCTTCGTGCTTCATTGCACCTGGGTCACCTCCAATGCCTACTCTTCCCCCTCCGTCGTCCTTGCGAGCAGATTGCCCGACGGCAGCCAACACATCATCGACGACTATCGTGAGGCCTACCAGTGGCTGCGCCAGAACACGAAGGAAGACGCTAAGATCATGTCTTGGTGGGATTACGGCTACCAGATTGGTGGCATGGCTGACCGCCCGACCCTCGTCGACAACAACACTTGGAATAACACCCACATCGCAACTGTCGGTAAGGCGATGAGCTCCCGCGAAGAGGTCAGCTACCCTATCATGCGCCAGCATGAGGTCGACTACGTCTTGGTGGTGTTTGGTGGCCTGCTGGGCTACTCTGGAGACGACATCAACAAATTCTTATGGATGGTCCGTATCGCTGAGGGCATCTGGCCTGAGGAGGTCCAGGAGCGCAAGTTCTTCACTCCCCGTGGAGAGTACAGGGTTGATGACCAGGCGACCGAGACTATGAAGAACAGCTTGATGTAAGTGACTGAAGAACTCAAGATCAACGGATGCTGACAACTGCGCAGGTACAAGATGTCCTACTACAACTACAACTCGCTCTTCCCCGCTGGTCAGGCCCAGGACCGTGTTCGTGGCGTTCGCCTCCCCGACGTTGGCCCTACCCTCAACACCGTTGAGGAGGCCTTCACCAGTGAGAACTGGATCATCCGTATTTACAAGGTCAAGGACCTTGACAATATTGGCCGTGATCACACGGCCGCTGCTGCCTTCGAAAGAGGCCAGAAGAAGAAGAAGCCAACAAAGAAGCGCGGCCCCAGAGTCCTCAGAGTTGACTAAGTCAATAAATCGTTTGAGCGACTGGGAAACATATCCTCGTGATCGCATCTCATTTCTTTGCATTGGGATAGGGATAGGTGGCTCTAGATTCCACATGTAGACAAAAAAAAAAGAGGCACGCTTCGGCAAATGTACACTATTAAATCATGACATCTTTACTGCACACTGTTGAAGTTCCACCACTATCAATGTGACGAAGCTCATTATCTATCCTGTCTTTATCACATGAGGGAAAGAAGTGTGCACGAAGAGCTTCGGACAATGCCTGGTAGATTACATTCAGGACTCCGATGGTCTCATCTGGCCCTGAAGTTAAGCTATGTCTGCCGGAACACATTGTGGGCCTATGCATAGTGCTAACCAGCTCTTGCAAAGACTATTGAATTGATTCTTGTATAGCTGAAAGCCCGGGTATTCATATATAATCCATCTACAAGTTGCTTTTATATTGTACCGTTGCAACGTCATCTGCCATGGACACAGTGAAGAATGCCTCATGAAGAGGGCTTAGAAAGTAGCAGGAAATAGGAAGCATCAGCATAAGCATATGCATGTCTCCTCTGTACTTCAGGGACCACGTGACTTGTAATGATGCTCTCGCTGTGGTCGAGTTCTGAAGCCGTGGTGCCAGGGAAGGAGCGCCTCTAGCGTTGTTTTCTTGCTCCTGTTTCACCCTTGAGACCTTTTGCTACTTACCAACCCATCCCAAATTTCCGGGACCTCTCACTCTCTTTACAGCTTGCACAACGCTCACTACTTCGGGGCATCGCGGGCTTTCCTGAAGCCACATGAGCTTTGGCAGCATGGCACCGAAGGAAAGAGCTTGGGCATCGAAAGGTGGAGGAATAGAGTCTTGCCAACGTCACTGTAAGAACACCTCCGCCATTGCTCAAAGAATTCAGCCATACTGATAATCATCTAGCAGATGTGCGGAACGACCTTCCCCGCCAGAAACAGCAAGCTGACGATGGGTACGAACGCCAGAGCCGACTAGTCGAAGAGCCTCGCCGCAGACGGATCAAATCTAGTCGTGCTTCCGGTCGTCTGAAGGCTTATTCCCAGGCGGATGTGAAAAAATCGGCTGCTCAACCAGCTGTAACCTATCATCTTTCCCACACTGGCTGCTCGGGCTCAAAAATGAGCGAATCTCATGCCTCTCCGGGCTCTTCGACGACAGATGTCCGAAGTCTTTGTCAACTTAACCCAGAGCCTCAGTCAGTTATTGCAATGGAGGAAGCACCCCAGGCCCATTCTGGGGCTATTCGAAGAGCCTCTGACATGGATACCGGAGTCATCTACTACACTGGAGCCTGTACTGATCGATCACGCCATGTAAAGCAGCAGTCATTCCAGCATATGAGGGGCACCATAGGCGACAAGCAAAATGGTAAAGGTGGAAGCATGGCCACCGATGTATCTGTTCATCTTGATGATAATGCCGACGGCTACTACTGCTGTGGCTGTGGCATCCGTCGATCCGACGAGCACCACCGGGTGCGCAAGTTCAAGTCTGGAGATCCGGCCTGGCGCAACTTTTGTAAGCGATGCCACGCAAAACATCTCGTCAATAGCCGCGGCAAGACTATGAAGACTTACGCCAACTTTTGTTTCGGCTGTGGATTTGCACGGTCTTCTCACTTCAACAAGGAGCATCCCATCAACCAAGATCAGAGGCCCGTCAAGAACTTCTGCGCCTATTGCATGAAACAATTCTCCAGAAAGGCGTTGATTCCAACAGAGACTCTCCTCGGCAGCGTACTTCCTCTCTCTTACCCCAATAGATTCTGGATTCACCTGTGACTGACATGATCTAGTCTTCTGACGAAAGCGAGTCTGAACTTGATCGACCGCAAAGCAACGAAGATGGACATGGCAGGTGGAACATTGGTCAGGGAACTCATTTTTCAGTCTCACACCATCGATCAACAACAGTGCTGAACATCGACGCCGCCAATAACAATGAAAACCCCGGGGATACTTCAACAGAGAATTCTCCATCCGAGTTTGTGATAGAGCGGCTTCGCAAGCGCCGCTCTGGCAGAATAAGCCATGCGACTCCCTCAGAAGAAGACCAATGCAGGACTGAGTGGCCGACAGTCAACAGACATGCAGGCAACGATGAGGCCTCTCCGGCAACATGCATCGAACACAGGACGTCTGCCGTCGACGATGACCTTAAAAAATCGTGCAATCAGAGTCCGAACTGCGACATGACTTCTGGAACTTACAAGCTGTCTCCAGTCAGCTGTCCGCATGCCAAGCGGTTCCCCGATGCACCATCCACGCCCGAAGCGTCTATGGCAGTGAGGGACAGTATTCTCGAAGCCGGATCGTCTTTGGTAAGTTCGGACTCAAAATTTCCTCCCAAGCGAGCGACCTTCAACGAGCGTGTTGAGGTCCGCACGTCTCCGACGTACTGGCAAAGAGAACATTCTGAAGGAGATGGTCCATATGTTCAATTTCGACACGAACATTACCACGAAGAACTCCGAGAAGGACAGAAGGCGGTTCCACTTGAGGACCCCTTAAGAGACCCTGACGGTAAAAGTGCAGGGCAATTTCACTTGCCCCGATACAGTGTCGATGAGGAAAGCTTTAACTCCTGGAGTGCTCCTAGTGCTGGATACGATGCCTTCGCGGCTTCAGGCTTCGGGTACAACTTCTCCTCAAACAGATCAGGCGACAATCAGCCGCATCCAAACACCCTGTATCCTTCACAGGGGTACAGTAGGGTGTGCGACTCTGGTCTTGACGTCGGGCCGTCTGACTTCGATAAGATGCGGCCGAATCTCAGCAACCGACAACATCAGCCGTACAGTGATAACAATTTCCCTTGCAATCAAGGCAAGGAGAACCAGTCCTATCCCACCAACCCGGTTGCTCCCGAGGGATCATATCCTCCTTTCAACTCCTTTGGAGAACACTGTTGCTCTGGTAAAGACTGTCAGTGCAACTGGTCCTCACGACACGACGGCCCATGTGCCAGCCACGTTGATCTGCCTTCTTGTCTCGAAGATCCATATTCCAATTGCGCTTCTAGCTCAGCCCAGAATTGCAAGTACCCTGGTTTCGCCGACAGCTTCTCTAGAGACTATGACACTTATCATGACGCTGGACTCAACGCAACGTTTCCTTCGAAAGATCAAGAAGCCACCCCGGACGATCGAGGCTTTCATCAAGGCAGCCCGGATTCTGACTTTTCCCGTCAGCGTTTCTCCCAGCCCCGCCACTTACATACTTCAGACAGACAGTGGGCTTGCCACGACACAGAGCCTTTCAGCATACACAAGGACTTCTCAGAGTCCCGGCCTCGCTTCCCTCGCAGATTCCCTGGTCGTTCGGCGGATCAAGGACCAGATATTGAGCACAACTTTCCCAACGATATTCCGTACGACGCCGATACTCCATTTGATTTCTCGAGCGCGAGTAGGAGCATTCTTCACGAACCCAGGCTTCCTTCTACTGGATGTGCCATGGAGATTCCGGACGACATGTCCGATAGCAACGTCCACAACCTGCTCATCCCAGGCTACGATGACTACGTTCCCTGGCGGAAGACGGGCTCGACCTGATCCGCAGCAACTCTTCGCAGAGGGCAGCTCTTGCCAGTTTCTACCACATGTCTGAATCCTTCCGCTTGGAAACGAGGGTCGATTTTCTTTGTCACTCGGTAACTCAGCTAAACGATGGCATCACAATGCGACTCTATGGCGAGAACGAATTTTGTCAAGCTATACGACTCTGCCGCAAGCAATTTTGCAGAACTTTGCTATGGATTAATTCGTCTTTTTCTTGTATGACTCCGCTTCTTTTCTTATTTTAACGTCTTGCTGGCTACTTTACCCTTTTCCTTTGATTACACAATATGCTTGTTCGTCACCACACTTTCTATTCTCTTCGCCATTCAACTAGGCCCTGCCTAGCTGGACCCGTTTCCTATTTCGGGGTTTATTATCACCGCCCCTGCGACTTTCTAACGGCCTTTCCGCAATGAACTATGAAGTCACGGCCTTTTTACTTTCACCATCGCCCGCGGAATTTTCTCGTGTCTCCCGCATCGCCCTGGAATGTCATTCCGAGGAGACAGCGGCAGGACCCAGACACTGGGATTCAGAACGGCCATTCCCCCGAAGAGAATTCTCAACTTTAGGGGACGGACGCTCTCTCTATGGGCCGGGATGCATCGGGGTCTTGGGCGATGCCGGGTCTAGGCTTTCATCGAGACCGAGGGATACTAGGTACATACTGCCTTTGGAGGGGCTTTTGGGGAATGGGGAGGATTCTTCTACGGCTGTGGATTCGTTTTCGGCAGGTTCAAACTCTCGGAAACCTACTCGGAGAGTGGCCAACCCTGTCTCATCACATAGTATATTTGGAAGAGAATGATAACCGAACTGTGACCTGTATATCGAAAGTAGCGCGACCCGGAATAAAAATGAGAATGCCACGGTCCATGGTGCCTTTTGTACGATTGGAACTTGAGATGATGATCTATCTGGGCATACTGCCTGTTGTGGCCTGTAAGGCATACTGTCAGGGGGGAGGATCGGCCGCCTCCAAGTTGGAAATCACGAGATGATACCACGTGTGGACAAAGTGGGTTCATCAACCCGTACCCCCAAGGGTGGCTTGATAACAAATGATTTACATGTTGATTCATGAGTCTTGTGGGGGGTTTTTTGGAGTCATCTATTCTACCATGTCCCATAAATAACGGCGCTGTCTTGCACAAAAACCAGATCCATTTGGGGGGAGGGCAAAAGCTGCCCCGCTTGAACATGTGCTTTCTAAAGTCTGCCGAATCCAACGCTATTTTGTTCGCTCCACAGCCCGCGTTCCTCCCTCTAACAACAGAAGCGCCAAACCCGATATATTCTATAAATATCAACTTCCTCATCGTCGTCATGTTAAGGGGGGTTTTCTTTCTTTTTTTTTTTTTTTTTTAAATAGGGGGGCAAGGTCTTGAGGCTCTTTCATCTCGTGTGTGAAGTCCCCTCCCATCACGACGCTCTCCAAGAACTCCCGAGATAAGCGTTGTGGCCAGCCTCTCAGTTCTAAGGGCTACTAGATCGGGCCTCTTGCAAAGGTGAAGGGGCATGTAGACCTGGCGTCTGGCCTCGAAGAACAGTAGTCGCGGACGCGCTTGTCGGTGAGCCCCTTCTAGACACTGTCCTTAGCGCCACGAATCTAAGCGCCTCGAGTCGCTTCTCCTCAAAGACACGGCTGCGTTCGCGCTCCCTCTCGATGTTCTGCTTGCGCTCGAACAACTCCTTGTCGACTTCGCTGTACCTCTGTCTTTGCTCAGCTGCCGTCTTCAGCTTTCTCTCGTACTTGCTGCATATCTCGTCCATCTTGCGTGCCACCGATGAGGATACTAGCTTGGGAGGGGCGTCTGGGCGGCGTTGCTTTGAGGAATCACCGTAAAAGCAGCGGAAAACCACCTTTGTCTGGCTTGTTGTGTCGGCGGCGGTACCCCATACGACAATCTCATCGCCATCGTAGACCTGGACCCAGTTCTTCGATGGGCTAGTGGGGTTCTTGCAGTCGTATGAAAGAAGCTCACAGCCATTGAGCAAGATCCCGTTTGTCGCTTTTGTTGACAGGTAAAAAGCAAATCCCTCGCCGTTGGGGTATTTGTCCCATGGATGCTTAGTAGGGTCCTTGGAAGGGTCGTAACCGTCTTTCCACAGCAACATCTTGAGGGCATATTTGGGTATCTTGACCTCTGTTTTGGGCTCGTATATGACTGTATTGGAAGGTCCTCGGCCCCACGACATCAGTGAAATCGTCACAGGGACGGAAATCCCAGAAACTAATGAATCGGGGGCCGACTCTAGCACAGCAACAGCCCGTTTCGGCCCGTCGTCGGAAACGGGGACGATGATCTGGGGCTGCGTTTCTGGCGGTAACGTGTTGGGAAGCGAATCTTCTTCAGGCTGGGGGGCAGTGGCAGGAATGTCCCATTCCGTGCCCTCCAGGACTTTCCTGTCATCCCGCTTTAGCAGGGCCCGATTTGTCTCCTCGACGGTGGGCTGGCTCTGGGTGTGCATAGCGGGCACGCCGTTGTTTGGTGGGAAGTATTTGAAAGCCATTTCCCACAATGGCGACTTGCCTGGGCCAAACTCCTCTCCCCGGCTTTGTGCAGCTTTCTTGAACATTTCGTACTGCAACTGCGTCATCTCAGGATAACGGAGGTGCCATGTACTCATATCTTTCCCCCAGAAGTGCATCTTGTTGAAAGGTCCATCGATCTGACGTCCGGATTCCAGCCTCTTGATCTGCGGCACAGAGGCAAGCAATCTGTACTCCTCCATTTCCTCTTCTGCAAGGGCATCGAGGTTGCCCTCCGACTTGAGGCGTTTGAAGATGGGCTTCTCTCGCGGTCGCGATTCGTACTCGTCACTGGTGTCAACTGACGACGGTTTCCGTTTGCTAGCATTATAGAACGTCCCATTGACATGGGAAGCAGCCGCGGATTTCATCTGGAGATCGCTGCCAAGATCAGTTGCGCCCAGACTCTGAGAAGCCACGTTCTCGACCAGGCTGCGCAGCTGATCCTCGGACTGGCCTTCGACCGCAGAGATGGAAAGCCGAGCACCCCCGCTGCTTCCTGACTTCTTGCCAATGATCGTCGAGGCATCTTCCGACTCGTAGCTGTCCCGTATTTCAGACCCTAAGCTCTCGTTGCCAAGGACGCCCGAATCGGCCACCGGGAGATTGAGCCGCTCCGCCGCTACTGCGCCCCTACTGCCTATAGCAGATCTGTTGACCTCTCCGAAAAGCCTGGGGCCAGCGCCTTGCCCGGTAGGACCAAATGTCCCATGCTCTTGCTCCGAATCCTCCTCGATAAAGTCCCTCTCGATATCATCCACACTTTCTTCGAAAGGAAGCTCCGTGTCGGCAAGACAACGCGATTGTCCCTCCTCCAGGCTCAGCTGAGATGCGTTGACCTGCAACTCTTCATCTTCGTCGGTGATTTCGTCGAATGACTGGTCACCATTTTGCGAAGGCTTTAGTCTATGGACGCCAAGCCAAGGGTGTTCCTGAAGTTCCCTGACTGTCGCGCGGCATTCTGGGCGTTTCTCCAGCATGTAGCAAAGAAACTCAATGCCCTGCTGCGAGATATCCTGCCGCACCAGCGGAAGTGTGTCAAGGGGTCTTGTCATGATTGTGTGGAGCAACTCTGAATAACTGACACCGTTCTTAACAGGATATGGCGGGTTGCCGGTGAGGGCATAGAAGAGCACGCCACCGAGTGACCAGACATCGACAGCGTGGTCATATCTCTGACCAACCGCTGCCCGCTTCGCTCTATTGCGGGGGTTCCGATGGCCATTGTCGTCGTACTCGGCGTACTCCGAGTAAACTTCCGGCGCGCAGTACAGTAAAGTGCCGCAAAATGTTCGAAGGAACGTTTGCTCGTTGTCAACCATCTTGGAGAGACCAAAGTCTGTCAACTTGACATCGAAGGGGTTGAGTGACGAGATGAGAATATTGTCGGGCTTGACATCCCGATGTGTAATGTTGTTCTCGTGCAGGTGAGCCAAGGCACTCAGCAATTGAGCTGCCATTTGCTTGACTGACACCTCTTGCAAGGGTCCACGACTGCTGATAAGTTTGCCAAGGTCGCCACCGCCGACAAACTCCATGATTATGATGAAGAGTCGATTGTCCCAATCGAAATGCTCAATATACCGGACGATGTTTGGCTTTCTCGGGTCAGCGGTTATAAACTCGGAAAAGGGACCAACTGGCACAGCTTACATGTTGAACCCTCTGCATGATTTTCATCTCATTTTCCACCTTTTGGTCCAAGACGCCGTTCTTGATGAACCGCCTCTTTTCGAGCTCTTTGGCGGCGTATGGGACTCCGTCAAACTTAGACGTGACCTTGTAAACGACCGCAAAGGCCCCCTTGCCAATCTGGCCAACCCGATTGTACTTGCCGGAACCGTCCCAGTCTCTCGGGAATCGATCAACATTATCCTGCGTGGTTCCAGACGGCAACGCTATTCTCCGCGTGGTGGCAGTCGGTGGTCTCCTTGGGGCAGCGAACAAGTCGACCTGATTTAATTAGTTCCTGGCGCTTGACGACGCAAAATGGGGCGCAGCTTACATGGCCACCGGGACCCGGTACCACCGTCTCATTGTGATTCGCACGCAGACCTGCCAGTGTAGCGAAGTAGTGCTGTAGCTTTGTGTTGTACGCCATTTCGTACTCGCCCACCCGTTTCGGTATCCGGACCAGGAATTCCAAGTCATGCTGCTCGTTATGCATCAACACTTTGATCTTGGAGCCGTGGCTAAGAACCCTCTTGGTGCCACACTTTTCATTTGCGTTCTTGGGCTTCGCACGCAGCAGCGTCCCTTCGACAAAGGTTCCGTTGGTTGACTGATCCTCCAGCATGACCACGCCGTACTCATTGACGTAGATGCGAAAGTGGATATTGCTGAGGCGCTTCATGGGGTCGTTGGCGAAACAGATATCGCAGCGTGAAACATTCCTGCCGAACAAGAAGCCATGTAGCGGAGCTTTAGTCTTTGCAGACAGGCGGAGTATGATGGCGTGCTCAATGTTGGGCGGCGTCAGCTGGAACTGGTCGGCTCTGTCCTCCTGTTCGTAGTCCGGCTCCACGGCATCCGCCTCTTCCCTGCCGACGACATGTTGCGAATGTTCGCGGGCTATGCGGTGGACTTCGCGACGGGCGAATTCGGAGTGGGGGTAGAGAAGGCATATGATATCGGAGATGTCCTCGTCAGAGAAGCCAGAGTTTTGCTTGCCTACGCGGCGCGGATCAAGGACATTCTGGGTAGCTGGGCAGCAAAAGGGCCGAGGTCAGTTCTTGGTCTGTTGCGCCGGTACTCGTAGTGCGGCAGAACCGGGGATGTGATGAAGGAGCATACCTTGGGTGGGCTGCGACCCATCGCCCTCCATTGGGGCGGACGAAGGAGCAGAGAAGGTGGTGAAGCTCGTCTAGGCTGCCGTCTTGGGTCGCGGGCCGGTGACAGACGACCGGCGCAGAGGAGGGAAGTCGTTAAGATGAGTGTCCAGGACAGGGAGATTCGCGGCTGGACAAAAGGAGCTGACAATGCATTTATTGAACATAGGCTACTGTAAACGGTGTCGATATCGTCCTCGAGCGAGTCTTGAATGTCATGCAAATCTAGAGCGGGGTTTACTATTTGCTTTTTCTCGTTTGCTTGCTGTGGCAAAGGCTTCAACGGGGGTGACGCTTTTTGGGTTGCTTCGTTTCTCACTCGATATTCGATGTGGGGGGCGTTCACGGTTCGCGGTCGCGCCGTCGTTCGCCAGAAATTCGCGGATTGGGGAGGCCTGGGTTGCATCGGCAAATTGTATGTATTCGTTGTGTTGTGCGGGATGATCACCCCCTGTCACCCAGCAACGTCTATTCTTTATAAATCAAGGATGCGAGGACGTCATGCAGAAAACTGATGCGATTTGACGAGGAGGCGAGTGGATATCTCAATGTGCCGTGCAAAGAGAGGGAACCAAAAGACAAGATAACAAAACTACGCCTCAACAATACCGGCGCGTGCTACGTGTGTCTTGCCCGACGCGGCTCAGTCTAGTTAGTGTTTGGGGAGGATATAAGTCAGATGATGTAGACCTCCTGGACGCGACGAGTGGGCGTGGACTCGACCTCGAGAACGCATGTCTCTGATTTTTTGGGGGCGAATGCGACGAGGCACTGGCCCGCGAGGGGTCTTGGGAACGGGGGCGGGTCGTCCTTTCTTCCATTGGCCACGAGGCAGCCTCCGGGCAGGGACCTTGGGCACATGCAGCCACTGTCAGCCAGTCGACGCTTTGCTTGACCCCGGTCTTTTCGCGCTTACTAAACAAACAACAGGTAGGTACCTATCTACAGGTATGCCTACCACGTCTACGTGCCCTCCCGTGCCGCGCTGGGCCAGGACGCGCCTGAGGGGGACGTGACGGGTTAGGACGGTAAGGACGGTGAAGAGGACGCGATGACGGTAAGACGGACGGGAGGGTCTCAGGGGAAAGAGGAGTCCACAAGGCGACTCCCGTGTTAGTCCGCCTTTGCTAGACAAACAGTTGGCCATCGAGGCAAAGGTCTTGCTCGGACTGTTCGCCAAGTGACTCCTGCCAGGCAGCCAGCCACTGGGTGGCACCAAGTTGACCATCAGTATCAATACCTCAAGAACACCTTCCCAAGCAAGCGTTTGCTGCCTCTCACTAGGTAGGTAGGTAGGTGCCTCGTCTTAGGTTGGGATGATTCGGATGGTTTGCTGAACGTGGCGCCGGTGCCACCACTGGCTCGCGCCCGTTAACACCTATCCTCGACAACACGCACCCATGCTCAACGATACTGACTAGCTGGGCTCGATAGTTCCCAAGTTTGGTGAATCTTTGGCGAGAGCTTATGCACCACCAGTTCGCGTATGTCTGTCTGCTACTCAACGGAGGAGGCCTTGCTCTGCCGACCCGAACGTCCCGTTGTTAGACCACAACTGCCAACTCGCCGGCTTGAATTGCCCGCAGGCGCGTAGAAAAGCACAGCAGCTAGGCGGTATATCACGAACATTTCAGCTCTGCTTGTCTTTTGCTTCATCAGTTGTATCCGGCCGTGTATTCAGCCGTCTCTGCTAGTCGTTATGCCACTATCCGCCAATGCTGATGTTCTCACACTACTAATTATGCGACAAAAAGGAAACCCAGATGCTTATCCAGTCTCGAAAACTCATGCCAACCAGCGTTCCTCTGCGTCTGTGACTTCCTCCTAAACGCCTTCCATGATGGGTGTTCCAATTACGAAAACAAAATCCATCCCCGGTCCGGGGTATGCTGCCCGCCTGTTGTATCTTTCAAATGCAATCCCCAATACTTCCTTTGCCGTCTTCTTAGCCCCTCCCCTCTCTCCCTCCCTCTCGTTTTCTGATTAAAACGCCTGTCCCTGTCCCTGTCCAGGGTACTGAGCCGGGTAAGCTTGACCTCGACCAAACTGTTGAGATCCGGGCGAGTAGTGCCCCTGTGCCATGAATCGAGGGTCCATCATCTAGGGTCCTGGAGACTGGCGACCCTGGCGCATAGCTATCGGATTGGGAAAGCCACCTCCCTGTCCCCAAGCACCACCTACTTGACCGTAGTTGCTAGCGGGACCGTAGCTTCCTGCTTGGACATAGCCAAGGTTCTGGGCGGGCCCGGCGCCATAGCCGTTTGGCTGCCCACGTGGAGGTCCCAATTGGCCGCGGGACATGTTGTTCTGAGCGTACATGCCCTGGGGAGACATGGGTTGCTGGTGCTGCTGTTGAGCGTACATTTGTTGCTGCTGATAAGCCTGCTGCTGTTGCTGCCACTGCATCTGTTGTTGGTAGGCCTGCTGTTGGTAGGCCAGCACCTGCTGCTGTTGCCGCTGGTTGATGGCATGCTGCACTGCTTGCGTGTTCAGACCTTGCTTGGCCTGTTGTCTCTCACGTTCGCGGGCGTGAATCGCGCCCACCAAACCTGCTCCGGGTTGGCCTTGTTGGCCGCTTCTGCTGGCCATAGAGATGAGGGGTGAGCCCGTCATGCGTGCCACATGCTCTTGCTCACGAGCCGAGAGGTGGGACGAGACTTCGCCGTTGCTAGCAATGTCGAACAATGTGTTGGCGCCACGGGAACTGGGACGCTGCAAAAGATCCGCGGAGCTACTGCGGGAGTGACGGGCGAGCATCTCTGAAGAGCCGCTTCGATTCACGGTAGGAGTTGGTGTCATCGATCGCATGGTCATGATATTGCCAGACGGCGTCCGACCGTGGGAATACATGGGAACTGCAGATTGGGCGGCACGTTGCTGCACAAATTGCTCCGGGCTGATACCTTGCCCAGTTGGCACAGCTGCGGCGCCGGGTTGCCAGGCGACCTTCCTGACCGTCTCCTCAGATTCCTGTCGGTTGTGACCTTGTACGTTGGGAGGAGATCTCAATCCGGCCGGGGAAAAGGGACGCTGAAGAACCGACACGGCGGCTTGGTTGTTCAGGGACGTCGGTGTCTTGGTCCTGGCGGGCTGGTTGGCGGCGTAATTGACCGTGGGGCCAAAGTTGATGTCCGGAATGTGGAAGTCCGAGCTCGGAGACTCGGCGCCACCTACAGTCTTCAGAACACCAGCTCTGGGGCGTTCGAAAGACTTTTGGGAATGCTGAGTTTCGCTCGACTTGCGGCTGGCGTAATCTGGGCTGGCAGTCGAGGATGCATCGTCGTAGTGACTAGCGTCACTCCGCTGAGTTTGCGCTCTACGAATTTGTTGCTCGGGCAATGGCGTGCGCTGTCTGACATCGCGAGGCTGAACTTGCTGGAAGCCCGCTTGGTCGATAAGGTTGATGCCCCAGCTGCTGCCGCTGACCGACGACAGGGGGGTGTCATGCGGGCTTCTTAGGCTGTCCGAGCGAACCGGCAGTGGTTTGCGTTGGAAAGCAGCTTTCGTGTCGATACCGGGAAGCGGCACACCGCGACCCTGCGTGCGAGGGTCTCTAGACTGATGAAGGGGAGGCGGCGGGCCCATAGCTTGGGACTGTATGCCACGGCTTCTCATTTCCGGTGTGGGAACTCGGCCAGGCCCCCCAACGGGGGGCGTTCTGGCTCCCTCTGGCCGAGAAAAGTTGCTAAACGACGGTTGAGGACGGAGTTGCTGCTGAGGGAACTGAGGAGGATATTCCTCGACAGGGCTTCTCATCTGTTGGGGACCTCTCACATCGGACGGAGGGCCGGTCGCGCCTTGAGGTCCTTGGGCTTGGGGATGAGGGCTAGGGGGTCCGGACTGCTGGGCAAGGGGCGATCGGGAACGCTTCTGGTTCATGGGCGGAATAGGGGGCGGCAGACCGCCGGAAGGAGGAGGGGTTGGGTTAGAGGTCAGAGCTTCACGAGACAGTGTATCGTTAGCAGTGCCTCCTCGTACGGGATTGGCTTGAGGATGTACCAGAGGGTTGGATGGTGCGTTATCCTCTCCGCTTCTGCGCTCAGATGAATCATCAGAGGGGCTATCTGGAGGGATCATGAATCCTCCTGCCGTTGTCAACTGGGACAAGGTGGTGTTGGACAGGCGGGTAGTAGCCCTGCGAAGATCTGGTGAATGGTAAGGTTTCCCGGCAGGCTTGGAGTTAGGACCATAGTTGAAAGCAGGCGGTGCAACAACTGGCTCTGGCGACGCCATGTTGCGCGCACCTCCCTCAATCTCTTGCACTGGCGTGCTGCGGGCAGTGTCTTCCTCCGAGCTTTGTGTTCCTGAACCCAGAACGCCTCCGACGGGGGCAAGGCCTTGTGCGAGAGGGTTGTAAGAGCTGTCGTCGCTGCCACGATCTTCATTCCGCTGCAGCGCGTGGCCAAGCAAGTGTGGGTCTGAAGAGTTGCGTGCATGGCTTGCTTTGTTGATGCCCAACAGCGGGGGAGGTGCGTGTGAACTTGTCACAGGAGCCGTCTCTGAGCGGCTAGGCGTGCCCAGAGACATGGACCTAGATGAACGGTTCGAAATGGAATCGTCGGCAAAACCCACTCTGAGCTTGGCTGGGGCAGGACTCGCAGTGCCGTTGCTAAAGCTGAGACGGCTGCTCTTCTTGCTTCCACTTCTTTGACGGACACCCTGGCTCTCATCAACGGCATTCATTCGCTTACCAGTGAGTTCTTTGAGCTTCTTCCTCCACTCACGCTCCGACCAGGACGAGCTCCCCTCCTCCAGGATGAGTCCAGAAACGTCGAGGATCTCGAGATAGCCGTATCTTCGATGCTTTGGCATGGCAAACATGAGCGATCTCGGGTCCAGAACACTAGCAACGAGTCTACCTGGGCGGCCATAGAGGTTAAAGGTATCCCAAGTCGGAAAGAGGAAACGCAGCAGCATTTCAAAACCGCTGACGGCGGGATGGGTCTCGGGCATGATAAACACGAAACCCTCAGTCGATGAAGGTGGTTCGGAGTGGATGGTGATGTTGCCTTCGATCTTCAGCAGGGTAGATGCGTCGATGAGCGACTTCGCCTGGGGGTAGATGGCATATGAAGAGTACGCATCGGTGATTGTGGCGATTGGGCGGGCCTTTTTCTGCTTCTTGCCGTCTTTTTTGGTGTCATAAAACTTGATGTCTCCCTTGAGGGTTGGCGTCGACCGGTCGTATGGCGACTTCTTGCGCATCTCCTTCTGTGCCTTTGCATACTCCTTCTCATCGGGAGGAGAAATGACACACCAGCACCGTCTCCAAGGCACTCCGGCACCAAATCGCACGCGCACCCATTCCTCGGTCTTGAACTTGGATCTATCCATGATCAGGTTGATATTGTTGAGGGACTTGCCCTTGCCGGCGATGAGGGCACCGGTATAGGCCTCTTGAAGCGTCGAATGCTCGTACATGGCGAGCCTGATGCCAGCGGTCCATTGTATTAGTGAATGATGGGAGTTAAAGTGCAGTAAGTAACGGTTCCTGCCGGCAGTTGAGATGCTCAGAATGTTCTGTAACGGCTGTTCATCGTTCGATCGCGTTGGTAGGGATTCAATCTGTTCGTCAAGGATCGATTGAATTAGCACTCGATTCCACCCCCGCTACTGCACCCGCAACCTGCCGGTCCATGATGTCTGGGCAAGACAACGGTATCTCAACTCACCATTTTGATGGATGCATCCGTCAGGTTAATGAATTTTGGGAGGATCTCGCCGTCCTCTCCCGCGGCGTCTAATTCTGCAGCATCCCATAGCGAAAGGACGGTGCCGACAAGCTGTGCGAAGCACTCTGTCCATGTGCGGTCGGCATTTGGCTTTCCCTCTATCAAGTTGGTCGGATCAGCAATCGGTCAAAGTGTTGCGCGTGCAGGCGCGCTGCTGTCACCTGAAGCAAGGAAGGCTGCATAGATAGATAAATAATGCGGCAAGCATAGACTCACGAGTATTCTGGTCGTCCAACTTGAGGAAGTAGCCCTCCTGATACAGCTTGTTGGCATGGCTGTTGAGGAAGGTGAAGATGGGCTGGAGTTCGGGAATGGTGTCTTCGTTGATATCCATGAGGGGCGGTTGGTATGGCATTACCATCGAAAGTGGGCGGGAGGAGCTTCTTTGGCGGCCAGTGACGGACCTGGGGGCATTTACGGGCGAGCTGTTTGCAGTTCCGTTGGCAGGCGAAGACGCATATTCGGAAAGTGGACGCGTCGGCGAAGTCGGGGTTGCGGGGCGGTGGCCAAAATTGGGGGGAGGTTCCGGGAAGGGCTCTGTTTGCTGGTGAGGCGGCGGCGGTGGTTGCGCCTTGTAGTTGTATGGAGGAAAAGGTGTCGTCGAATCGTGGGGAGGCGACGAATTTGGCGTTGGTTGATTCTTGCCCGAGTCTCTGGGTGTGCCAGAAAACTGGGACATGAAAGACAAGACTGTCCCCACGGAAGATGCAGATTTGGTCAGCATAATGTGCGCTCGTCTAGCATCAGTAATGCCAGAAGAAAAGGATAAATAATGACAATGATAACAATAACAATAATAATAAAAGCAATAATATTGCCTGACGCCCAAGTAATTGGCCAGGATCACACGACGGGGATGTGAGGGAGTGGATGGAAGGGAGAGGGGCGGTGATGGAGCCAGGGAGTGATGGGGACGAGGGCAACGACAGCAAGAACTAAGTTCAGGAGAAAATGATGATCATGGATCAGTCAAGCTAGTTTGCTGGGAGTTTGAATGAAGAGCAGAACAAAAGGGCCGGGCTTGGGTATTTGATGCCCGCATGGCGACGCCACAACATGAAGATAGAATGCGTAACTCAGTAAAAGGGATAGATGGGCATTGGGTAGACTTGGTTTACGTTACTGCTGCGTGGGATTGGGGATGCAGGCCGGGCATGCGCCAGGGCGAAAAGCCTCGTACGCGCACAATAGCACCGCATCACAAGACAAGACTAGACAAGACAAGACAAGGAAAGACCAGGCAAGGGGTGAGGGAATGTGGGAAAGCGAGCGAGTACGAACCTCGATTACGACCCATCTTGCTGGTGACGGCGGTGGTTTCTGCGCCAAGCCAGCAACCATGCAAGCAAATTACTGAGACACTCGGCTTACGGCGTGCACAACCAAGACGGTCTTGGACGAGCAGGACACACCGGCCGGCGCGGGAAGGTGACGAGGATCCCGAGGATTCGAGGAATGAGCGGAGATGGGGGCCCAATATGCGCTGGACTGGGGACTCTGGGTTTCGGAATCGAAAGGGGTCCTGTCTCCCGCCTAGCGCGCGCGCACACTGCGTACCGAGTACAGGGCGTGGGCTTCGTTGGACCTTTAGTTAAATTATCGTGTTGTGGTGGTGGAGGTGGTGGTGGTAGGTAGTAATTGCAAGTAGCAGCGGTGGATGAAGTTGGTCGACTCGGCGGGAAGCACGGATGCTGCCGGCCTTTACGGATGAGGGACAGAAGATATGGGGAGCAGAATCGCCGCCGTCGCCGTCGTTGTCGTTGTAGTCGTCGTCGTCGTCGTAGTAGTAGTAGTAGTAGTAGTTGCCGTCCTCGTTGTCGTCGTTTATTACCGTCGTCGTCTTGGTCGTCAACTCGTGCGTGCGCCGGGTGAATTAATGCGGTTGAACGAATGAAGGGCCCGGCCGACAATAACGAAACGACAGTGATTAGGATTCAGACATGGGCATGTATGGTATGTATGACGATGAGTCGTTGAGTCTGCCGGTCTCCTCCCACGAGAGTTACGAGGTGGTTCGAATGGAATTTGGGGGTATAGGAGTGAGGTCGAGAGGACGGGGAGGTGAAAAAGAAATAGCAAGACCAGGAATTCCCAAAGATGATGTGTGAAACTTGCATGTCAGCGAGGAGGACGTGTCAAATCAGAAAAAGGACGAGGCGCGACGGGAGGCGAGGCGGATTATGCAACAAGAACTACTAGCAACGCCGCCTGCTTGCCTACTACGGGTCGGATACCTTCCTTGCCTTCCATGGGACTGACTGGCTGGATCTGAACCTGAACCGGCCTTCACCCAGCTGTGCCAGGAAGGTAGCAGTTGGTGGGTGTGTTCCCAGGGCTAGAAACCAGTCTCGAAAAGATCAGCTTAAAAGGCAAGGCAAGGCAAGGCAAGGCAGGGCAGGGCAGGCAAGGGAGGACAGGGCAGGGCAGGGCCTACCGTCCCATGCTTTCCTCCAATAACTACCTGCCTGCCTGCCAGCACCTACCTGTACCTACTACCTACCTCGGTATCTACATAGTATCTTCTGCTGCTGCTAACGCCGACGACGACGCCGCCGCCGCCACTGCAGATGAGGTAAACCCGGGTCGGCGGGGCTTGTCCCTATCTGCTCGTATTCTGCGGTCAGAAAAGTGGGAGTGACATGCAAAGGGACCACCCACCTACAGATACATTTGACCACAGACCACCGACCACCGACCAGCAGCAACAATGTCGGCGGCAGCCAGGGCTAGGCCTGGTCACAGCCCAATCCAGCCAAGGGAACGAGGGCCAACGACGTAATGGCGCTATGGGCAAGAGGCGTAGGCTTGCTTGTTCTCTGCTTAGGTTGTCTTTCCCATGACACGACACACGCAAACTCACGGCTTTGGCGCCCGGTCGTTCGGGCTAGCCTAGACGACCGTAGCACGATGATGATGATGATGGCAATTACGAGCATGATGATGATGATGACGACTTGTCCTCCTTCTATATGCTTGGCCTGCCTTGTCGGCGCCGGCGGTGCGTTAGTGTTACCCGAGCAAGCGCTGCGCTATTATCTAATGGTCCTACTTTGCAGTCTTGGACGGTCTCGGGGGAAATGTCTTGCAGCAGATGGGTACCTGATATCCTCCCACGGACCGGGTACGGATTAAAAGAAGAAGGCCCAGAAAAGGAAAAGGGAATGGAAAACCAGCCCCCAAAAGCCCGTGGCATGCGGAAGAGCCGGAAGACGCAAAGATGCAGCACGTCAGGATTCCTTGGCCCGCCTTTGGTTCCGAAAAAGCTCACTGAAAGAGACCCGGCCAACCCCTTGGCCGCCAAAGACCAGTCAGCTTCTGGCCAGGCGCTGCGGGTTTGCCTTTGGTCGGCTTGCTCCTCTCTGTCTTTTGCTTTCTCTGACTCCGTCAGGCGGCCATCACGGTTGCGCCATTGGTGGTCACGGCAGCTGGATGAGCCAGAAGCGACAGTGCAGACGGAGCGCGGGGCGCGGGGCGCGTGTAAGACGGTGAGCCTCGAGCTCCTCAAACGACTGGCGCTGCACAAACGCCAGCAACGACCACAAGCATTGAATCCTGCCTGCGATTTGCAGTTGATTCGATATCCCACAAGAAAACGAACGTGCCAGGGGGGGGGATATGGTGCTGTAGTGTAAACCGGGGTATCATAACCTGCCTTACCCCGGGGCCGGCCAGGGATGGTAGCTAGTGGGCGGACGCGCAACCCCTACCACATGAATCGTCAAGGGGTCTGACTAAAGATGAAGAGACTGAGTGGATGAGTCGATCGCTGGCTGAGACCGACCGACCGGAGGAGTGCAGATGGAGAGATGGGGACTCTTGGAAAATGCGAGGTCGGGACGCGGGCTATGGCAGTGTGTGGCTCTGCGCTACCTAGCCCTACCTAGTAGCGGGACTAGGGGACCTGACAGCGCAGGCGTTGGCGTATTCGTGACTCGCTGCAGAGGACAAGGCCGAGCCCGCCGCCGGGTCGATATATCCGTGTATCTACGGAGTATAGGCATCTCGATGGGGTGCTGTGCTGTTGCTAAGGTAGGTTCGTTGTCGAGTGCCTGTCTGTTGTGTCATGTTCGTTCCCTTCTTTGCCGCTCATGTTTGCTCGACATCGTTGTCTTGTTTCCGATCCCCTGCCTAGGATGCTTGCCTGTACATAGTAGTTCCTTTGTGTGTCCGGGTTTATCCTCCAGTAGCCGTTCGTTTTCAGACTCTAATCCGCGGGAAGATAAAACAGGCTCCTCAACGCCTCCCCTTCCCTGTGTAGGCGACGCCTCCGGCTCACAATCCAAGTGTCCCCTGCGTCCTGACTGGGTGGTCACACCGCGTGGCCATCGTGTGGCCGATTAATGACACCTGACGCCTTGTTCCAGAGTGTGGATGGTGGGGAGGGAGGTCTTTGAGGGGTTGGGAGAGGCTGGGGAAAGAGGGGAGAGAGGCGGTATAAACTACATGCAAACTTGCAAGACGAATTTCCTTTGTGCCTTCATCTCGTCGAGTTTTTTTTTTTAGTCTTTTTTTTGTCGCTAGAAGCGTCCATCGAGCTCTCTTCTCAACTGTTTGGATACATGCCTCTTGTGGGGTTAAGAGAGTTCCCCCAACTTGCTGCTGGCCAACCTGTTCTACAAGACACTCCGTACATCCCATCTGTGGGATGCCCAGGAAGTCAGAGGAAGGACGGACCCTGCAGAGGACGGACGCAGCTAAGGTGCCTAGCCTGCTTTCCATTAACTACATACACTTGCACCACTGTTTCCGGGGTGGCTGTGCACAAAGCAAGCGGAAGTCCAACAGCAAGCAGCCTGTCCTCATGTGCTTTCGGGCGGATAGCCCAAAAGAATTGGGCGGGGTCTCGCGACCGGGGGTGTCTCGGGTGTTACTTCATCGGTCCTCAGAGGCTCCTAGCATCCGTTGTTGCCTATTAGTAGGTACGTTGTTTTCGATGCCGCACCCTTCGCCATCGTCTCCTAGGCATGACAGCTCTTGTTCCAGAACCTTCGCTCCGCTCTCTCCTTTTATCCAGTCCGGCCTTCAACCCGAGACGCCCCCCCTCAGTAGCTGTAACGAGGGATGGAAGCAGCCTTCAACTGAAGCAGCACACGTCAGTGTCGCACAACAGCACAAGAGCATGATTCTGCTTGTACAGGCACAGGACGTCACCTCGGCGGCGGGAACGATTTCGTTTTGCGGGAGCCATCCTCATGTAACTGACTACAATCCGATGATGGCCACCCTCACGTACTTTGCTGGCCATCTGATATACTTTGGCAGGTTCGTGTGGTGCATGACCACCACTATCCCATAGTTCCAAGACACGCCAACACCGTCCCAACTGAATACGTATTTATAATCTCACGCCCTCCACCGACACCAGTCACCCTACACTCTAGCAATCATGATCACAAGCACTTCAACGCCCATATTGCTGCTCCAAGCAGAAACGTGTACGTGCTAAGTGACCAGCATCATCTCCCCGAAACGCTCGCGCCCCATTGACGACGTGTCAGCAAATTGGAGTCGGGCCCACCATGGATTTCCAGTGCCGACTTGGCTTCTGGGCTTTCTGCCAGCTGTTCCGTGAAGCCTGGTAATCCTGGCTCCGCGGATTTCGAAAGTAACTCTATATGATCCATGCTCGCGATGATGACACGCCCGCCACCTCCAGCGAAGCGTGCGAACCCACTGCCCACTTTTGAACACGAATACAAACTACTAGCGTAAATACAGAGTCCCTAATTCGGATACAGCATCGCATGATTTTGCGATTAAAAACAATGACAATGTCCGCCTGCCTCATCGGGTTGCTAGCGACAAACGTCGACAGGGTCTCCCTGGCGATCTGGGACACTCGGAGAGCTGCAGCTTATATACAGGTACATAGTAATACCTGTAGATGGGCTCAGGGATCCAAGAGGGGCGGAGTGTTAACGCCGTCCCCCCTCGTAGAACCCTTCAATTACTGCCGCCATTAACACCCTCTCGGCACACTGCAGTCCAGTCTGGCCTGAAAAGCTGGAAGCCTTACCATCGCGAAGACAGTGCTGTCACCGCTCCCGGGCTCCGCTCGCCTTGGCTTGCCGCCGCTGGCAGGGGGGGAGGGGAAAACGACCTCAAGGGTCTTGAACAGCATGCATCGATACCACCTATCCCCATCATCACGCAGTTCTCACAGGGGTCATGGTGCCCTCAGCGGCTATACTCGCTCAAGGTGGCGTGGCTGCTTGGTCCGTAGTCAACGCCGAGTAAGAGTCGAGAGTTATGCCAATATCGAGTTTCTCCCTCTGTTGCAACGATCAGCCACTGCTGTTTCTATGAATGATCCAGAGGGCTCAGGGTCTCCTGCATCTTCCGCAAAGGCGCCACCCGCCCGCTCTTCCACCATTCGAGAGACCCAGCCTCATTGTCCAATCCCAGACGTAATGCGTAGACGGGAAACTAGACGGTCAGGACATCAGCCGCACGCACACTGTGCACGTTGTTGCTCTGCCCTGAGAAAGCCATGGAATACAGCCGGGTGAGAGCCTCTCATTCTAATTTACCTGACTGGTTAAGGTTGTTGTTCGGAAAGAACTTACCCAGACAAAGGTCGTACTGCTGCGAGGCAATCATGATTGGGTGTAGCTTTGGCGCTAATTGAGACATCATCCCGGGCGGGACGGTTCGCTGGCGGCTCGTGGTAGCTCCTCTCGACGATGCACGTTGTTTGCACACGAATGGCGACAGCACATTTGGGAGACACTCAGAGGTCAACCGTAAATTTTCCACAGAAGTTCGTACAATAGAACCGCTGGTGAGCAACTAAGCGTGAGCCCCCTTACGCCATGCCTAAAGGAATCTGGATAACCCCTGCTGAGCTGGCGTCAGCTTGACATACTATGTAGGTACACCACTACCCTCGCCCATAGATACTCTCGCGCGGTGCGCACCGATATGTCAGTTCAACCGTATGGCTTGAGGTGTCGAGCTTAAGCACAAGACGTTGCATTTGAGCTATTTGGCTGATTATTCAATGTCTCGGTCACGGTGAGAGGTTCACGGAACAACCCTTACATTGTGTTGAGTACGGATACCGAGCGTGGTAGTTTTACGGTGGTTTTTCCCACTGTATATGGCCACTGTTGTGTACCTGTACGACACCACGAGGGACCGCCTTGTATCTGTATATCTGTTCACGAAACAACGACTCGTCGTTGGAACTAAGGTTAAAAAATGGCCTGAGAGTAGAAGCAGCCCTAGACCGGATAATTATTCAAAAGCAGACCGATGATTCGAACTGCCCGGCTTACGTTTCCTGCCATCCATGCTGTCGAGAGGATATGATCTGAAGATCAGCGCGGATGGAGAGGCTCTAGAAATGCATTTGCAGCTCGTGTCATGTCAAAAGAACCCCTCCTTTTTTCAGCTTTGAGGTCATGTCAAAACGGGGCTGTAGAAGCCAGCCAACCGTCCATCACATTGCGTGTTGTAAATAACCATTATCCCTTCCATGGCAGCATGGCATCTCCTGGCTGTATGTTCGAATGAAGTAAGTGTATGAAGAAGTGTTTGGAGATGACGCAAACTGCTCCAGAAGAGAGACACCCACCCATATTGCACCACGGCTTGGTGTGTTTTTGCTCCGTTATAGCCGCAAGGGCTGCAGACAAGCGGCCATACGAGGCGGCCCAGCTGTCGATCGGCCCGGCAAGTGTGCGTCCAGGTTATGCATACCGGGAATCCGCTTTGTCGAGGTACGTTCCTAGCTGGAAATGCCGATGGGTCAAAAGCAGAGAAGAAAAAGAAGCCAATTTGCAAGGGGGGGGGTTTCTTTACCCCCCCTCTGAGAAGCCTGCAGGATCCGTCAATGTCGGTTATGCTTGCTTGTTACTCCAGAATGAATGGCAATCTCTGCAGTCGAGCTGCAGTAATTGCCACTTATTGGTCCCATCGACAACCCGCTCAATTGCAAGAGTATTCAAGCAGAAATTTCATCCAACTTATTAGTTGTTTATCGTTATTCGCCGGGCATAGTTCATGGTACAAACCGTGATGCTGGCGAGGAAATTGTCTCCCAAAGTGCGGTCAAAAAGAAAATAAGGGGACTGCCCGGACAGTATGCCTCGCCTCGCCTTGAAGACAATGCGAGCTGGGTCTCAACCAGCTCTCCTTCTTTGAGATACAGGAAAGGAATTGTTGGCGAAAGGAACTACCTGCACTACTTACTATGGGTGGATGACCTGCTTTAGCTAGGCTTACCTAAGATGAGAGACTAGTAGCATGACGATGCAGCATCGGAGCTCCATAGTAATTTATAGGTACGTACCAGCCCACTTGCTGGAGGTCCCGTCCAGCTGCAACTCTGCAGCCCGACGCCATTGCGCTGTCCAAACGCTTCGCACGTGTATCCCCAATTTAACCCCCGGTTCGGAGAGCCCCCAACCAACACATCGACCCCCGGCCATGCCATACCCATGCCTAGCACCCAGTGGCACCCTTTCCAACGCCAAAGATAACGGCTCCAGGCCCAACCATTTCGTCTCGCTGCGATCCTGCATCGCAAAAGGCGCCTGATCTGCCTCACAGTGGGAATGAGGAGGCTACCTGGGCCCTTGTTGGCGACATCACCCTTCACACCGCGGCCACCGACCGTGCCTCGGACCGCACCATGGCCGGCGCAGTTGCGACCACAGGCTGCCTCTCTATCGACAACGGCAGCGCGAGCAGAGTCTTCCCGCGAGAAACCACGAGCGCAGCCTTTTCGCTTCGAGACCGGAGTCTCGCTCTTTGCGAAACGAGCCCCGCGGCCTTTCCCGCCGCCCTTTCTTTCCCCGCCGTCCGGCTCCTTCTCCGATCCGCTCAGCACCCATCACCGAAGCCGCGACCGCCGTGCCAGAGTTAACGGAGAGATCATCCTCGGGCAGACGAATGGAGATGACGCGGTGTTCGCCAGTGACAACTTCATCTGCGCCAACGACGGCGTTGGCGCTTGGTCGACACGCCCAAGGGGGCATGCTGGGTAAGCGTGTTCCTGTATCAATTCTCGCTGTGCGGAACTGACCAAAGCAGTCTCTGGTCGCGCTTGATCCTTCATTTCTGGGCTACGGCTATGAAGCAAGATGTCGCAAATCCACGATCCCAAGAAGTCTACAAACCCGATCCGATAGCGTACCTCCAGATGGCATACGAGCAAACCCTGAAAGCGACATCGGACCCCGATTGGCAAGGCACGACAACGGCAAGCGGAGCGCAGTTGCACTACAAGACCGTCGACGATAGCGAAGACGTCCCTCAAGTCTATGTGACCAACCTCGGCGACTCCCAGATTATGATTTTACGGCCCAAGCATAAGAAGGTTATCTACAAAACCAAGGAGCAGTGGCACTGGTTCGATTGCCCGCGTCAGCTTGGTACCAACAGCCCCGATACACCGGAGAAGAATGCGGTTATGGATGTGGTGGACATCCAGGTTGGGGATGTAGTTATTGCCATGTCAGACGGCGTTATTGACAATCTGTGGGAACATGAGATTGTCAGCAGTATTCAGAACAGCATACAACGTTGGGAGGATGGAGAGGGAGTGACAGATAAGCTCGAGGGCGACCGGACAGGCGGCGCAAACGGAGGCATGAAGCTCGCTGCCGAGGAGCTAGTGGCTGCCGCTAAGAAGATTGCAACCGATCCCTTTGCGGAAAGTCCATTTATGGAGCATGCTATTGAAGAGGGCCTGGCGAGTGAGGGAGGTAAGCCGTGCTGGCTTGAGAATTCTGAAAGAAACCCCGAACTGACAACGACTAGGCAAGCTTGACGACATCAGCGTTGTCGCCGCTCTCGTAAGGAAGCAGGATACATGAGACTGACACATCAACATAGAAGTATCACCAAAGAATAGACTTACGGGACGGGCTTGACGGGGCAATGCTGCAATTTCTAGGTATATGCCCTGTCCAGGTTGGACAGTGGCCATCGTTTTGGGCGACATGTGGCGTTCTGCGGGCGGTCGATTTCAGTGAAGACGTTAGGGATGCCAAAGCGAAATGAAAACGCAAATTCAATCCAAATCCAGTCTCTGTCAAATTTTACGGTATCTCCCTCCTTAAATAGTAACTACATCCCAGTGTTATCTAGAAGTGACGTTGATCGTAGTGTCTGTCTGGCTTGTGGTTATGGTGGGGTAAAATCGGCGTTCATGGGCCCGACTATCTTATCTTATCGCAAATTTCATGAGAGAGAAATTTCGCGACTTCAACGCAAACGTTGTTTCCACTACCGCCTTGCAAACACACCAAGCCCACCGCCTTCAGCCTCCCTGAAACTACGGCACGGCGCCACTGAGCCGCCCGATCCAAGATGCGTGGAAAACGAAGTAAGCAGTATCGCAAGTTGATGAACCAGTACTCGTTGACCTGGGGATTCCGCGAACCGTACCAATGCCTGGTTGACGCTGAGATGGTGGTTGACTGCCATAATTTCAAATATGACCTGCTCGCCGGGCTAGAGCGCACATTGCACGGCAAGGTCAAGCCAAGTATATCAATCCTTCAGACTTCGTTCAAGTCGCGATTGCCAACTGACGACTGACCTTCCACAGTGATCACACAATGCGAAATCCGTAAGCTGTACCTACGCAAGAACGAGCCCGACATGAACAAGATTATCGACTTCGCAAAGACGCTAGAGCGCAGACGTTGCGGTCATTTGCCCGAGGACTACCCCGAGCCCCTGAGCACAATGGACTGCATGAAGGCCGTCGTCGACCCGAAGGGAAACCTGGTCAACAAACACCGCTACTGTGTCGCAAGTCAGTCGGCCGATGTGCGCCGCATGCTCCGCGAAATCCCCGGAGTCCCGCAAATCTACATTAAGCGGTCGGTCATGATTCTCGAACCCATGGCGACGGAGAGTCTGGCAATCAGGAACAAGGAAGAGAAGAGCAAATTCCGCGATGGGCTTATTAGGCCCGAGAAGAAGAGAAAACGGGAGGATGACGAAGGACACGAGAGCGGGAAGGAAGGAAAGGTACCCGCTAGTGGAACCCAGGAGAAGAAGAGTCACAAGAAGAAGGGCCCCAAGGGGCCGAACCCTTTGGCGGTCAAGAAGCCAAAGAAGATCACAGAGGACAGTGCGAAACCGAAGAGCGAGTCGCAACCGGCGGGAAGCGGGGGCGAAGGAGAGGGTGAGGGCGAAGGCCCGGCGAAGAAGAAGCGCAGAAGACGTCACAAGAACCAGCCTGGCGGCGCGGCGTCGGGCACGCCAACAAATCAGGGCGAAGCCCCGGCAGAGCAGGCAGCGGAAGGCTCGTAAGGGCTTGGAGAAAAGCATACCATAGGCGTTTCGGGAACTGTGATTGGAATGTAAGCACAACAAAAGCTATTCGATACCAATTAATGGGATATTCTTGCCACCCCAATACTCGGAGGAGGTCCCTTTGGGGTGAGTGTGTTTCTGATTCGTCTCACGACTTGCCCTGGAATTTCTCATGAACTGCAGATTGGCCCATTGGTCGGCTTCAATGCGTAGGTACTCGTACCAAGCAAGTCCTTGCTTTCCCAGACACGCAGATGGGGTCCTATCAACGGGCACAACGGGTTACTACGCTGCATTGCCATTTGCCGTTGTCTTGAAAACAGATAAAGTTCTGCGGAACAAGCCGGACGAAATGGAGCCAGGGCTGCCCATGGAAACGTTCGAAGAATGTCGTCAGTCTGCCAGAGAAGTCATCCTTCTAGGGCTGTAGCAAGGCTGGACAGAGGTCAGAGCTCTCAGTCACTGAAACAATCACTGTCGTGGTGTTGGCGGCATACACCTACATGCCTGCTATGTAATTTACAGCTGCTGCAAGTGAGCACAGTCCTTCTGCGCTGCAAGAAATTCATGTAGATAGTCCGATTCTGTCATTGGACCATCGTTTCCTCACTGGCCCTCCGAGCCGCATAGCCGGCTCTCTTCAGCGCGCGGTGGTGAGGCAAAGCGCGTGAGAGTGGTGTGGTGCGCTGTGCCGGTCGGCCCCACAGGAAATTGCACTCTAGCGGATCGTCATGGGGGAGAGGGAGGGGCCATTTCTCCTTTCACTCACCGGTCAAATTTCACTAACGGCGTACTTCATTCTGCCAGACAACAAACACGTGGAAGTCTCCCTTTCTCCATTCCCTGCCCGTCCTGCCGCCTACTTGTCGAATGTGCTTGCAGTCAGAGACTCGATAACCTCAGCACGTCTAACTGCAGCAAGTTGCTCGCTTATGCGCGCGTCGGTACACCGGGAAAACATAGGTATTCCACAGCAATTCTAATGCTAAGCCACTTACCTACTCTACGGAGTCGGTAGTTGGCCTGAGGTACTGCGCGTCGTCTTACCTACGCACCCCTCGACCAGCAAAGACCAACAACCTATTCGCTCCACACAAAAGCAACAACCCCCTCCCTCTTGCCCTGCCCTGCCTGGATATATACTATCACGTTCAGACAGCTCGCATGCTTGTGTAAAGTACGACATCACATCTCATCATGGCGGGCTCCGGCGAGTCTACCACCACAGATACCCCCAACAATTCCTCACCGCCAACGACCACCGCCGCCAACGTCGACACTGAGGCGGTCCAAAAGCTACCGAACGGTACACATGCACCGGATGTACCTGCAACACAGCAACCTTCTGCAACCACGGTTATGACAATCGAGAAGCCCGAGTTTGACGATTTCGGCCTGCCCATCAGACGATACATACCCCCACCGCCCGAAGAGACCGATCAGACGACTGACGTCCATCCCGGCCTGCAGCAGCCCGTGGACGCGCCACCACGAGAGGAAAGGAAGGTGGACGATACCGAAGAAACAAAGGCGGCTGAAGACAAACCATCAGTTGAGAATGATGCCTTGTCAGAGAGCGACGATGATGACTTCAAAGATGCACAGTCCGAGCAGCTCGCTACTGCCGCTGCCTCGGGAGTCAACTCTAACGCCCCGTCGACCCCTGTGACGTCCAACCTGGACAAGGGAGACATGAAGGACAAGCCGTTGCCGACAAGTTCCAGTAAAAAAGAGAACAAAGCTCATGGTGCCCTAAGTAACGTAGGGAAAATGGGGGAGGAGGCCGGCCAATCACCAGAGCCAGCCACCGAAATGCATACGGCGGACAAGCAGTCGATAGTGGAAGAGAAGTCGACGGAAGAGAACGCAGGCAAAGACAAGAGTGCCACAGTCAACACTGAGGCAAACCAGTCAGATGAGATGAAGCCACAGCTATCACCACCTACTGTTAAGCTGAGAGAGGAGCGGCCAGAATCTCCAGTGAAACTGGTTGACAAGGCAGATGAGCCAGGACTCAAGGGAGCCGAGCCAACACCCCCAAAGGCCCACGACCACCACAGAGACATGAGCACAGCTAGCAACGGGCTTATATCAGAATTTTCGCACCAGCAGCTGACGTCGAATAAAAAGGAGGAAGATGACAAGGAGGATGATGAATGGCAAACGATGCCATCATATGCGCCCTATGACATTTATGACGATGACAATAGGTTGGTCGCAAAGGAGTATACCGCCGAAGAAGAGGAGGAAAAGTACGGTTACGGTGGGCTCGGAGGCGCAGGGAAAGGATATACCCGGGTAGTCATGGACGACGATGTGGAATCAGCGACGAGCATGGACGACAATACCCAGTACCTCTTCAAAGAAGTTAAGGGCACAGGCATTGGCGAGGACGACAGCGAGGCACGTGATGCCGTTTCCCAGATGCAGGCGACCAAGGACCTGCTCACCGAAGGGCAGAGAGTCGCCTACGTGGGACTAACAAGGCTGGAGATCCACAACATGGTCAAAGCGGCCGAGAGTGTCGAACACACGAGGTCTACGAAGAAAGAGGTCAACATGTCCGCCGAATCAACAAAGATGTGGGGACAGAAGATGATGGTCCGCCTGTACTCGCACATGGACATTAGCTCCGCGGAGCAGATCATGGTTGAGCAGCTGAGCGACCACGGCGTCGTGCCCTCCGACTTGACGCCAATATTGATGGCTAATGCACGAGTCAAAAATCCCATGGCTGAGGATGCGCCCCCGAACTCGGGTTCCTGCTCGTCGCCAAATTCGCTCCCGCCTCCCTCGCCGGCCCTTTCTCATGACGAAATTGCCGCCGAGGCGCCCCCGCCATACGAAATTCACGAGGGAGAGGAGCTACCACCCGTCAAGACTCCGGCCCAGATGGTCACCTCTGACAAGATTGACATTGACTTGCGATGGACCGTGCTGTGCGATCTCTTCCTGCTCTTGATTGCCGACTCTGTGTATGATTGTCGGTCTAGAATACTGTTGGAGCGAGTCGGCAAGAGTCTTGGCATTGAATGGTTGGATGTTAGGAAATTTGAAAAGAAGGTCACGGATGCTCTGGAAATGCAGCAGGCGGCTGAAAAGGAAAACTGGAACGAGGACGAACATATGGAGCTTAGGAGAAAACAAGCTCTTAGGAAACGTTATATGATGATGGGTCTAGCTACAGTCGGCGGCGGCCTGGTCATCGGCTTGTCGGCTGGTCTGCTTGCTCCTGTCATCGGTGCTGGTTTGGCGGCAGGATTCACCACCATTGGAGTGACCGGAACGTCAACGTTTCTGGGAGGAGTCGGCGGAGCTGCGATCATTACGTCCAGCGCAGCAGCTTCTGGCGGTGTCATCGGTGTTCGAGCCGCGGACAGGCGAACGGGAGCCGTCAAGACGTTCGAGTATCGTCCGCTACACAATAACAAGCGGGTCCATCTTGTAGTGACAGTGGCCGGATGGATGACGGGCAAGGTGGATGACGTCCGCTTGCCGTTCAGCACTGTGGATCCCATCATGGGTGATATATACTCGGTTCATTGGGAGCCCGAAATGTTGAGAAGTATGGGTGACACCATCAACATTCTTGCGACAGAGGTAAGTCAAACAGTTCCCTGTCCTTTGCCTGGCGTATCTAACAACTGCAGGCTCTTACCCAAGGTCTTCAGCAAGTGTTGGCAAGCACCATCCTGACAAGTTTGATGGCCGCCCTGTCATTGCCAGTCGTTCTAACGAAGCTGGCGTACTTGATTGACAATCCATGGAGTGTGTCCCAGGACAGGGCTTGGGCCGCCGGTCTGATCCTGGCAGACTCTTTGATTGATAGGAACTTGGGAACACGCCCGGTCACCCTTGTTGGATACTCACTCGGATCGCGGGTGATTTTCTCCTGCCTCCTGGAGCTGGCCCGAAAGGGGGCGTACGGTGTGGTGCAGGACGTCTACCTATTCGGATCGCCCCTTATCATCAAAAAGGACGAGTACTTGCGAGCACGCACTGTTGTCCCAGGGAGATTTGTGAACGGATACAGCAGTAACGACTGGATTCTAGCTTACCTCTTCCGACTGACCGGCGGTGGCCCTCGTAGAGTAGCCGGCCTGGCCCCCATCGAAGACCTTCCTTGGATTGAGAATTTTGACGTGACGGAGTTCGTCAAAGGCCACATGGAATATCGAAAGGCTATGCCGCGTCTCCTTCGAGAATGCGGATGGCTTGTGGAGAGCGACGAGTTTAGCGAGATTGAAGACCCAGACCCGGACAACCACCAGGAGCGCCAACGTGAGCTCATCAACGAGATTGAAGAAGCCCGCAAGGAACTCGAAAGGGAAGGGCAGAAGAAGAAGAGTAGATTTTCCATCTTCGGGCGGGGGAAGAAGGCGGATAAAGAGAAGTGGGAGATTTACGAAGACTCGACCAAGGACGGAAGCAAGCCGAACCCGAGGACAGAAGATCAGGAGGGCAATAATCATGGAGTGTTGTTCGACGTGGAGGCCATGCGGGCGGAGCTAGCAAGGGAGAAGGACACATCGACGAAAGATGACCCCAAGGACTTCGAGGTGAAGGAGCTGAAGTCTACGCTTCCGCCGATGAAGCTTGACTTGAGCTCGTCCAATTCGTCGCTGAATCCGCGGGACGCCCTACGTGAAACAAAGAGCGCGTGCGCCGTACCGGGTCGTGCCTCGTACGAGACCACTGGCTCGTATTCTCACACGCCGGAGCGGACACCGACGTTCCACTCGAGCCAGATGTTCTCACCGACGCAAAGAGCCGTGTCGCCGTACCACGCAGCGCCGTCCCCGCTCGAGGAGGTCGAGATGACATTCGATACCTCGTTTCACGACCCGCCGCCGGCGCCTCGGCCTCCCCCGAAAGATGACCTCCCTGGTCGGCCGGAGATGAAATCGGCTCAGACGGCGCCCAGCATGGGAGTACCAAACCCGTGGGCAGATATTGACGATGATGACGACTTTGGTAAGGAGAAGGAGATCCAGATGACTTTTGCATAACGGAGGGACGAGATACAAGAACCTGTTTCCTTTGCTCTTTGGAAGCGGACAGATTACGACAGTCCAACATCTGGCTGCGAGGGCCATTGCTGCGCCTAAGGATGTATGCACACGCCGCGAACGAAGCGTACACATCGGATCTGTTCTGTATGAATGGGAACGCCGCCGATGTCTTGTTTGTATTTTCTTCCCCTTTTTGGGTGTCCAGCGTTGGGTTATGCTACAAAAACCGTAGACTATTCTGGTACATAATTCGTCTTTACGACGCGGAAAGTAATACTACGGATGGAGATGTAATCTCCCACATCAATTCGAAAGACAAACGAACCGTTCTCGACTATACATTACCTACATACACGAAGTAAGAGATTCGTTTAGGTCGGCACCCCCTAGTACTGCGTGCTTTGGCCATCCTATGTTGCTTTCGCCTGCAACCTTGGCTTATCGTCAAAACATGAAGCCTCCCTCGGAAGTTATTATTGGCGTCAGGGTGTTGGTTGAGCCTCTTCGTCTCCTAGCATGCACATGCGTAGTGCAGGGAAGTAACGGGGAAAAGACTTTGGATAAAGGACAGTTTGGGCCGTTGGAAGTTCACGATTGATGGGGCTGGAAGGACCGGGGGGGACCGCGAATAGCCAATGCCGTCGTTCGTCGTGTGAAGTGTAACCAAGAGGCGAGCGAGTCGCCCAGTCAGTAAGCGCGGTTGTTGGAACTTGGGGGTTTGGAGATGGCATGGCATAGGATTAGCCAGAGCCAGAGCCGGCCGGGGTGTGTGGGTCGGATCGGCAGGCAGGCAGCAAAGGGAGGGGCGGCTAGAGCGGGTTTAGATGGGACTTTGTGCCAGTGGTGATTATGGGAGGGGCAGAGGCTATCCATCAGGGGCGATAAGGCCCCCATCTCCACAGTGGGCACCAATTATTACCTCGCAAAGGTCGGAGTATGTACAGTACTTCTATTTACGCATATTTTTGCGTATGCCAGAGGTACTAGCAGTTTCTCTCTCTTTGAAGAGCCACGCTGTAAGTTAGGTAATCATGGACTCTTATCACGTGAGTGTGGTGCGGAGAAATAAGTGGAGATGGGGCCTTATTGATGGGATACCTAGTTGGGCTAGGTACCTACTAGTAGGTTAGGTTCATCTCTATTCCTGAACAGAGTTGGCGGGCATTGACTGTCGTTGCTTCGTACACTAAAGTCTCTACACATGTTTTGAGACGACAGTGCAAAGTAAGATGAACAGCTTCGGAAGAAGGATTGGTATCACCCACTCAGTCCGATATCGGCCGCATGACATTAGCGGCGTAACGCTAGCCCTTTTATGACTTCTTCTCTGCTGTCTGCCTCTAGGTAGTCACGTTGTGTACCGGTATCCGTATAGTGTACTATGTAGACCTCCTCTGCGTTTGCATATGCAGGGGGCGGGTGTCCTTTGTTTCAATTAATAGCATCACGGCTGTGCCGATGGTGCTTATTTGCTGACGGCGGGGCTAGGGCGATTTGGGACCCCCACTTATCTCCAGCCTTGCCACGAGTGAGCGAGTATCCGTACCTTGATACCTAGTCATGTATGTAGGTTACTCCCTAGGTAGGTAGTGGTGTCACTTCTCTCCTTTGAAGCGCTCCTCGCCTACAGCTGCACACCAGTGGTCGTGATTCCACTTGTCTTGTGGTGGACAAGGTGCCCGGCAACATAGGTACTGTGATGGATGGGTAACGAAAGGTCAGCCCGTCTTGTTAGGCCTGCCTCTTGCTGCTGGTTTGGCATCGCCACAACCCGGTGGCGGAGCACATTACCTACCATCTTTGGTATGGTTGCATCTCAGCACTTGCTGCTGCCGTTGTGTAGCAGCTTACTAAGTTCCTGACAATAAGGATTAGGAATGGCAGGCTGCACCTTTTGCGTTGCGAGGCAAGAGAGAGGTGAGGATGGATGATGAAAGAAACCTTGAGTCGAACTTTCTGGGGATTCGTAAACCTGGGCTGTGTGTGTTCCCTTGAACCCTCAGCACTGCATGCTAGCAAAGCTGTAGAAGCATGGCTAACCTCCTCGAGGCAATCGTCAGCGCCTCGCCGTGGCCAATTTCCTCATGAGCCAGCTGGGAGAAGGGAGAATGAGGAGCGTACGTGGTTGCTAGCGGGTAAATCCTTCTCTCCACACACATTTCTCTGCGAGGTGTGGCCTTGGCGTGTGGCTTTCTGCAGTTGGCGTAGCGCAGAGCGCCCAATCCTTGCATGTCGACATCCAGGAGATGGTTGTGTGGGTTGCGTAGTGTGTGTAAGTCGGCCCAGCTCTCCAATACCAACAATGGCCCGGTGTCTCCAGCTGAACTGTCTCGCAGCACCAACGACACCGACACCATCGCGCCCGCCCCCCCGTCAGCAAACCGACCCGACCAACGAAAAGATGCCAGCCATAGCCCCTCGTCCTTGTCTTTCAGTTTGCTCTGTCTTATTCTCATATCTACCTAGGTACCCACACTGTAGTACAAGCCGGGGGTTACTGGTGGCTTTCTTTTCTCACTCTTTCAGCCCTGCCTTCCTCACATTTTTCGCTTTCCCTTCTTCCTATTCTCGATTCTTGATTCTCAATTGTTCGGTAATAGCGTCTCTCCGCGGTTTTGTCTTCTTCGAGGTGACGAACACCTATCCGCAAGTGTGTGTTTAGGGGATTCGACACCAGCAGCGGACGAGTTGCATCGCGACTTACACGGGAAGGGTGGAAACGACGACTACGACAGGCTCGAAGGATATTTGCACCCAACGATCAAGAGTTACAGGCTGTGACGCAGCTTGGCCGTTGCAAATAAAAAGCAACGCAACTCGACATTGGATAAAAGCCATCGGATCGCCCGGCAACCCAACGCCTTTCGCGAAATGGCTCTTGCAGTGGATACACCGCATGGTGCACCGTCGACGCGAGTGTTGGTCGATGAAGCCGACGACGATATTGCCTTCGAGTCTTCTCGGCAGGCCTGGCCGACTACGCAAAATAATCCCGCCGATGGAACCGCCGCAATGCCTAAAGATAGAACTATCCATTTCAATGTCACTACGCTCGGCGGTGATAACCGTGTCATTGTGACCAGCAACGACACCCATGACATCAATTGGACGGCAAACTCTAGCGTCAAGATTACAAATGCCATCTGGCTGGGAAATATGCCTGGCCACTTCGAAGAGACCAAAGAACTATTCCCCAATGAAGCCGGCTCCTCCGAGCAGTCATCTTCAACAAGTTATTCTAGCAGCGATTTGGGTCAGCCGAGCACTAGGGCAAAGCGTGGAGAAGGAGGTAAGTGCCCATTCCTCTCCTGTTGGAAGACAAGTGTCTTGATTGACAGGCGTCTGTGTGTTCCCTTTCGAACCGCTGATATCGTAATGCAGTGAATCTTTATGGCCATAGTCTCAGTCTGCCAGTCCACGAATTATACCTCAAATATGGGGACCAGAGCATGTATATTAACATGTATATTAGCCTTATGTGGACGCACGACGATCGATCTGGTACATCGAGGAGCGGTGTTTTCACCGTCTTAAATAGCTCAGTCCCTTCTACAGACTACGATGCCACGGTACAACGGATAAAATATCTGACGGCAGGCGACGACAACGGCGATCAACTCAACGGCTTCGAAACCGACGGCGTTCCGACAGAATCGGTGCCCGGGGGCGAAGTCGAGACATCGACCCTCCCCCCGCCAACTGCCACCACCTTCCCACCAAACCCAGCCATCGGCCAAAACACAGGCAGCAATAGCGGCGGTTCTAGCCTCTCTTCTGGAACCATCGCTGGTATCGTCATCGGCTCGGTATTTGGCCTGTCTCTCATCGTATTCCTAGGCTGGTTCTTCCTCCGACAGCGCCGTCGGGCGGACCACGTCTCGAACAGCGAATACGGCTCCGGCCACGGCCCCCACAAGTACCTCGCCGATAAGGAAGCGCACGCCCGCGTCACTGAGTCGCCTCACCCCCCCTACTCGGACGACAGACAACAACCTCAACAGCAGCTGGAACAGCACCACTACCTCCACCAGGGCGGCTCGGGAGCCGCCGTCGGTGCTGCGGAACGAAGCCCTTTGACGCCGTATGGCGAGGAGGGGCACGTACCCATCACGGGGAGGTCGATGGAAGACATGACCCGGAGCGGCGTACCCTCGTCGACGCCAAACGCCGCCACGAACGTCTCGCATCTGATTGAAGATGGTATGACGGAGGAAGACATCCGCCAGCTAGAGGATGAAGAGAGGGCATTGGACGACGCAATCGAGCAGGCTGGACAGGGTCAGCGGCGAGGTTAGAAGCCGTAGCTACCGCCCCCTTTTTAGTTCGCCAAAAAGCGAGTTAATGCATAATACTCTTTTTTTATACCTCCTTTTTATCGGCGGTATAGTACTCTAGTAGACTTGTTCTTCATATATTGGGTAACGTATTCTGAGGTCAAAGCCTTCTACGTATATGACACCTCAGTCCTTCGTTGTTGGGCGCAGGGCTGTTGATACCCCATACAACAAAAGGGAAGAGGACCTGATGTATGGCATAAGGAGCTGTGTGCGTGTGTGGACATGGTTGTCAACGATACGGGGCAACGAGAGCTGTTTCCTCAAACTTTCTGCTGCTCTTGTTGCCTGCAGGCAACATCCGTGTGCCTGCAGGAGTGTTCTGCAGCCTTCCGCAGCTGCAGGTGTGTTACAGCCTATCAGAGACTGTTCTTTGTTTGTTCTAGCTATCGGTAGAGAGAAGCTCCCCCTCTCCGCTAGGAAGAGGGAATCAAGCCTCTTCCTTCTCTCATTTCTTCTACACGTCCGTTTTCTGGCATATCTGCATGAAGCGCCATGTTGAACGTGCAAGTCCATGAGGGGTGACGTCGAGACCACATGCAGTACACGTGGGGCTGCTCACGCTGTACCAGCCCAGCCCCATCAGCCAACTTCCAGAGAGATACGACCTGGATGAGTGCTGTCCAGACCTAGGCGTCCAGAGACGACGTTGAACCGGAGGATAAGGCGCCAGCTCTCGTTATCCTCCACTCCCTAATGGCAGAGAAGAAAGCAATATCTGCAAACGTGAATCGAGTTTGGGGGCGCATTTGTGGTTACACATCATGTTCCGGGCCAACGACACCGTACTGCTACAAGAGGAGGATAAGAAAGATTGTTGATCGTTCGAAAAGATACAGCTTTACCGTTCGTGCTTACATGTCTAATATACAGCTAGGGGTGGGTATAGCAATGTTTCCGCAAACCAACGATACGCTCGGCCTCGCGCCAATTTTTTCCCCCATGTTTTGTGTTTTCCCCCTTGTTCCCTTTTGTTTGCTTCTTGACTGCGGCTTCAGTCTCACATATTCTGTGCCTGCAACAGGGCTAAAAAGAGAACCGCAAGACGGCCTTTGTTATGGTTTGGAACGCAGAATTTCTGGCCGATTCCTTAGCCCTCCAGTTGCAATCCAAGAACAGAAATGTGACTCAACCCCGGTTAAAAAACCGGCCCACCATGTTGCTCGCGATGCTGCCCGCCAGACCGCCTGAGTAAAGCGCGCTTCCGGCCATGTTGGATGCGTGGCTGAACTTGTCACATCTCGAAAAGGCCATAGCGTTCATGATGGTCAGGACCAGAGCAATGACTACGGAGCCCGGGTCAGCGTGTTGTCCACTGCTTCGAAGGACGGTGTTCGCCCCCGCCGGTATAAGAAGACGGCGATCATGCTGCAATCCCCTCTGCCCCAGACAAGGACAAGGAGAGGTGGGGAAGGGTGGTCAAACTTACCAACGAGAGGCAACCACAGAAACTGCAACCGTACGAGCGCGAAAACGGCAAGCAGTACCCAAAGGATCGGCTGCGTGTAGAGTGCGAGCCAGAAGAAGCGGCTATCGGTTGGGTTGATCGTCTTGGTCCCTGGCTCGCTGCTCTCAAAGACCCATTGAGAGTCGCCCGTTTGCACGTCCACCTCGTTCCACCAACGCAACCCCACGAGTCGGCGACCGGCAATGTTCTTGAGGTAGTAGAAGTCTGCGGCGAGGAGAAGGATAGTAATGATGAAGATCATGATCCTATGAGTGAGCGTGCGGATTAGCGCCAGGTCGTTGTGTCAGGGTGACGGGTGCCTTGGCACGTGGGCTGCAAAATCGATGACTTCCCACCCTTCAGAAGGTGATCCGGACCGGAGCAGAGATTCGTCGGACGGACCCAACTGGGGCTCGAGGGGAAGGGGGTATGCGACGACGTACATGCTTCTAATGATCCACAACCCGAGGAAGTACACGAGCACACTTGCTATTCCGCGGGGCCGTGTCAGTCTGCTGGCCCTACAACCCATGCGTGAGGCTTAGGATTGACTTACATATGCGAAATGAAAGAAATGTCAACAGGGTAATAGGATGCGAGCTCAATCGCCAGCTAAGGGAGCCCGGCGCATGTTGCTGCTGTTGCGAGGGATCCATCTCGGGCGAGGTTGTTCGATCCGGCACAGTAGGTAGTGTTTAATGTCTTCAACAGTCTCGTTATTTAGTTTGACGAGCAATCAGAAACTTGGACTCGTCTGCTTCGTCTCCGTCGTTGTCGTCGTGTGCATGTCGTGGTCTTGTGGAGGAATTGTGCTTCCTGGTGTCAGGACGAGAGGGATGCCTGTTCGGAAAAGGACCAGAAACCCATTACGGTACAGCTGTCGTAATGCGCGGACCGCATAAGTGGCTTCAGCTGCCCTACACTTCTTACTGGGTCAGACCCTCTGAAGCTACGGTAAGCTGTTCGGCGGGTGGAGGCTGAATTATTCCGCCAGGGGGGCCGTTGGGTCAAAAGACCCACTTGCCTAGCACATTCAGTTGTTGCAGGGGTTCAATGGCGGTCACTCGCGGCAGATACTACAAGCTCCCTGGCATTCAGACACAATGCCTCATTACGTCATCAATCATCCCCAGCTTTGTGAACCCTGTCCTGTTCCAAATAGCCTAACCCATTGTTGGTGCTAACCACGAACTACCGAGCCCAGGTGTCAAATAACTGCGCTTGTGCATTTCGGTCCATGCCTATGATAAAAAATCACAGAGCTCCATTCTTTTGGTTCATACAAAGGTGATAGACTAGAACCACACTATCCGATAGGGTATATCTATTGTGGACAACCTATCCATTATGGCGGCCAGGTCCTCTTCAATCGTCCGCCGAGCGCTGCTTTATGGTGAATAGTGTCCAATCAGACCTGTGTGACAGCCCTGACTAACATTTATATAGTGCCCTCGTCTTCGGAAAAGATGCTCATTAAGTCGCTGGGTCTCAAGTCCGACAACGTGACATATGATCTCGAGGACTCAGTGACGCCGTTGTTGAAGTCACAAGCTCGAGGCCAACTTCGGTCTTTTCTCGAGAAGAACAATTCGCGACCGCCATCCATCACCGAACTGGCTGTACGAATTAACGCAGTAGAGACCAAATTTGCTCTAGACGACCTGACCGCTCTTGGATCATTACCCAATGTCGATGCTATCGTCGTTCCCAAAGTCAACTCTGCCGCCGACCTTACGTATGTTACCGATGTATTGCGTCATGTGGCCCCTGATAGGCATGAATCCACGTCCCGGAATCCCATCAAGCTTATCGCCTTGGTTGAATCTGCTCGATCAATCATGAATCTTTCCGAAATTTGCAAGGCATCACCGTATCTTAGCGGCCTGATATTTGCTGCTGAGGATTTTGCCCTGGATCTGTCTCTGACGAGGACGCCTTCCCTTACCGAATTCTTATATGCGCGATCCGCTATTGTTACCGCTGCCAAGGCCGCTGGTCTACCCAGCGCGATTGACCTTGTCTGCACCTCTTTTAGGGGAGATGAAGGTTTGAAGAGGTTAGAGGAAGAGTCTCTAGGGGGGAAGTCGATGGGTTTCAACGGCAAACAATGCATCCATCCCAACCAGGTGGCTCTTGTGCAGAAGCTATTTGCCCCTGGTGAAAAGGAAGTGGAATGGGCAGTACGTGTTGCCATCGCAGATGAAAAGGCAAGCAAAGCCGGCCGTGGGGCCTGGGCTCTCAACGGCATGATGATCGATGCCCCGGTAATAGGAAAGGCGAATGCCATCATTGCCAAAGCGGAAAGATGTGATATCGACGTGTCAAGTCTTCGGGAGAAGTGGAAGGGCCAAGAGCCCGAGTAACTCTATCGGTAACAAAAGTAGTTGGGTCGCCAGAATGCATTCATCTCTTCCCGTTCGTATGTTTCTGTCCGATCAATGGACCTTTGTGGACTGGGACGTTGATAGTCCCGTGGTTGCGTAAAAAGCTCGGTCTCCAGATATGATCCTACTTTTGGGCCGTTGGCATTGGCATCGTCTCTTTGATAATAAACCCAGTCCGGTTCTCCATGGAGTTGATCGAAGCCCGAATCTCGTCTCGCCTGAGCGCTCCCTCCGACATGTTGTCCCACTGTCATTGAGAAGTCGCCTGCTCTCTGCCGATAGGCCATGTCGTACTTTTCGTCCCGCAGTGCATCTTGGTCTACTCGCGCGATGAAGTCGGCCATGCTCTCCGAGCTTTGAAGTTGCGACACATTTGACCTTGGAGCTGACCCGTGACTTTGTGCGGCGAGGGCAGAAGGATGGCCTTTCTGCTGGCTTCCTTGTAGGGTCATTTGGGGATAAGTCCATAGCTTTGAAATCGCATCTTTTTCATTGCTCGTTTCGTGGCTGTTTGAGCCCCTCGTTGGGGGTATGTTTTCGAATAAGCTTGGTCGATAGAACAGCATGCTATCTTGAGCCAGCAAGTGGTCGGTATGTCTGCTTTCGCTTGCTGAGGAGGGTGTCCGAGACACATCAAACATAGTAGACTCCGTATTTCGTACCTCTCTGTTTTGAGGCTGGGCCGCTGCCCCTTTTGCAAATTTAGGATTTAATATAGCCTCAATACGGGGCCGGACAGCGGTGATTGATTGCATGTCTATCTTATCGGGTCTTGTATATGCGGGCTCATTAATCGCGGGTGTTTCTGCCGGTGTTCTCTGAAAGAACTTCGACGGTGCTGGGGTGGGGACGTTCTCTGTGGATTGTAATCCAAAGGACGCTTGTGTGGCGGCGTCAGCTCTTTTCGGGGGAGTATTTGTCTCGCAATCCACCTCAGCAGAACAGTATGTCTGTACATTCTTTGAATGTGTATTGTTTATCACCGGTTGTGTCGGCAGTTCCGCTTTCGCCATAGCCCCTGAAGGTTTTGGGCTCTCTGAATTCTCGGGTGCCTTCGATCCACCTGCTGGCTGATAAAGTTCATTGTCCGTCATGACGCCCTTGTCAGTGTATCGGACGATGGTGGTTGGCTTCTCCAAAGTGACGTGTTGTTCATATCCCTGAAAGGTCTTGTGGTTGCACAAATCGTCAGCCTGGTGAAAACTGTCCTTGAAATTAGGATTCTTTCCCCGTAGCCCAGTTCCGCCGAATACACCGGACCGCCAAAGGGCTTCTCTGACAGTCTCAGGGGTGCTGCTAGATGAACGATCACTGTTGCCATATGATCTGGTTCTTTGGTGATTGCTGCTTGTGGACCATGTTATGTAGCTTGTAGCTTTGCTACTCGACCGGAGAGGATAAGTTGACCTGTCAGACTTGATTTGCGGAGGCTGTCGTGTCTGACCTCCCTCTAGACAGGCTTCCCCCACCATCGATCCTGTCGGAGACATCTGTGGCACAGGCCGCATGCTGTAGTCATCGAGAAGTTTTACGCCTGTTTGCCAGTTTTTCGAGTTTTCATGGTATCGCTGTTGCCCCCTTTCTTTATGTTGTCTCGTTGGCGTCTCTTTGCGACCAATAAAGGTCTCCATCTCTTCCAGTTCCCTTTCTCGCCGTTGGCTTTGTTTGGCCTGGGAGTATTTTTTCTGCTGCCAGGAAGACTTGTGTGGCGGAGGGTGCTCAAGAGAAGCCATCGAATTGAAAGCCAGTTCCTCGACTTGCACACGTCAGCAAATGTTTAGTGTCAAGTCAGCTCGGAAAAACGAACGCACCAGGCCTTGGTGACGATACACGCCCATTTTGGAAAAGCCCAGGTGTTCGGCAAGGTTGCAACTAACGTTGTCAACGAAAACTCCCATGAGTGGCTATTGGTTGCTTACTGTCAGTCTGTCATTGAGGATGACCCCCGAGCGGAACTTATCCATCACCTCTGGACCGGAAGAACTTATCTTTCTCGGTAGGTTATTGGGACGTTCTTCTCGGCCCTTCTTGCGCCTCTGCCGAACCCGTTCCTGAGTATCATATCGACCTTCCCTCGTCTTGTGCCTTGGTCGCTTCTTGAATCCTGGAGAAGGAGTACCTGATGGGCCAATGGTGTCGTTTGGTTTGGTTGAAATCGTTTTCTCTTGCCTTCTTGTCGTTTGAGGTAGCAGGGAGGGTACCCCAGCTGGGTTGACGATGATTGAGCTGTCCTGAGACCTGGTGCGTTTATGGCTTTGTCGAGGTACGTCCTCAAGAGGAAGACCGTGAGGCCTCCAGGTTGAATCATTCAAGTAGCCTTGAATTTGATGATATCCGCCCACAAGCTCGGGGAGAGCTAGATCTCTTCGACTGATCTTGGAAAGCCAGTTTTCCACCAAATCAGCACTGTTCCCTTCATCTGAAGCCAAGGCAACGCCCGAATTTCGACCCCCTCGCCTCGGGTTTGAGTTGGAACGGTACGCTGCTGTTTCTGTTCCATCGAGAGGGCTACGACGGTGGCTGAGGTGGCCATCACGATGATGTCGGTCACGACTGTGATGATACTTCACCAGACGCTGATCCATCGCACGCTGTTTCTGCGCTCCCAGGCGTCATCGGTGATCCGTGGCCCGGACTGAGACAAGAGAGAAATGGTGGTAAGCACAATCAAAACAAGATGCGTTGAAAATACTGGTTTTCCGGCCAAGGTAGAAACTGCAATGCAGGTGGGTGAACATGCAGGAAAGCTCATCCAGGTCGAGTACCCCGATGCCAACGGCATCGCCTATTTCTGGTGATCCATAACCCATGAAGGCGTCGCACTTTCTCCTCATGTTGGTCTGTCTGATACTGCCTTCTACTGGTTATTCACAAAATGGCCGAAAGAAGGAAGTGACCTTACCATCAGAGCACAGGGTAAGGTGGAACCGCCTGGGTTGTGGGAACTTCGGCTGCCGCTCTACAACGCAGAGAAAGATTTGGATGCCAAATTTTCTTGTGCAGCCAGAAATGGCAAGCATAAGCTCCTAGGCGGGAGGCCAGCATATCCCCAGCTCGTGCCAACTTCCATAGCTGCATCCTTCATGCCCACTTCTCCGTATCGACTTCGAAAGCGTTGCTACACATCTCCAAAGCAATTCGACACTACGCCTATCATGTTATTGACGATATATGCCGTTGGAAGACACGCATTCTAGAATATATTTTAACTTCAACGAGGGAAGAAATCACATACTTTACCTGGAAAGCCTTGTCGACGAGGAGAACACCAACTTGACAGCAAACATCTCATCCAAGGTCTCGGACTTGTGTCTGGCAAAGCAAACCCAAATTGTCCTATATGAAGTAAGGAGATTCTGCCATGTCGTTTGGGTACAGAACCAGCATGACACTTCAAACAGTCTCCTGGGACGGGATTTCAGCATCCACACTAGTGCGGGTAGGCATATTCTCCATCTTCAGGTTTTCCCTACGATGACTAGACATAGTTCACACACCGTCCTTTGTCGCCCCCGGGAGATTCCTCTGTTCAACTGAATGTCGCCGGTTCTACTAGGAATATCGTAGTGCTGCTGGCCCTGACTCAGCCGAGGTATGAAACGCCGCAACCTTGAATGATCGCGGGGTACGAGGCACAACGCTAAGTTTTGCTGCCGTCGCCATGGAGGGACTCGTTGGGCATTACAGCATCGCTACCTAACTTGATTTGATCTTTGGGTTGGACCACAGAAAATGACAGGGGAGGGGGAGAAACATCGGCAACGACATGTCGGCGCACTGGACATGTGGTCCATGCGATACCCAAGTTGCGGCCGTCTCAGAGCGCCAAGACATGGCACAGCTGGAAGTGACGGAACGTGTCTTGTGTCGAATACTCGGCCTGATGCTATTGATAGCACCGCCGCGGCTGCGGGGAAGCTGCACCGGATATGAGCCACCTGAGTGATGGACTGACAGCTAGATATGCAAGCCCTTGCTGATGTCTTGTCCATGGCCACATGTATTGGCTATATCGAGTAGTCTCCGCCATCGACACATGATGTGGGAACACTGTAAATGGCGACAAAAAGAAGGACTGGAACAAAGCTTCGGCCGACGACGATAACGCCGGCACGGCGGCATCTCGACCATTCCGAAGACTTGGGCTCGACATGGATTGCAGCTGTTGGTATCTGAGATCAGCCCAACCGACAATCTGCAGGGTCGCATCGTCCGTGACAACGCACGTGGCTGCAGGAGTTTCTCTCCTGGAGCAGGCCAATGCGGCATCTAGTGTGGACATAATGTGTCGGAAGCCGATCTGACGATGCTGCCCTATGCTCTGTGTTCTCTGCAAGCAACAAATTTCGAGTGGGCCTGCAAAGAAGACGCGGCAAGTTTCATCCCTATCCGTCGAGGATCTATAAGTTAATTTTAGACCGTCCCTAGCAGTTTCCAATGCCTCTGGGATATTCGGAAAGGCAACTCCGTAGTCCTTCAGGTTGCCAGCCCTGCCCGCCAGGGCACACAAAACGCATCGACGAGATAGTAATGTGGCGAAAGCCAAGAAACCGTGGTTAGAGGAGAAGCGAAGCTCCATTACCCAATTGGATATTCCTAGCTGCGTTTTTGTTTGGCCCATGCGGCATATCATGGCGGCTATAGTGTACAGTACTCCCTTGGGTATGGAGGTCAAATGTCCCACTTTTTGAAGTCCCTGGAAATGGGCTGCCCCAGGGTTCGATACATCGTTGCGTCACGTCTTGCGATTGTCCAATGCTTTCGCCGTACACCTTTGAACAGAGGGGACAGCAGCAGAGTACGGTGGGTCTTCGGAGCATGTCAATGGCTTGGCAGAGTGACCGTTTGACGCCAAATTGCACCGGGCAATCATCGGGTGAATAAGGTAAACTGCTATGTAGCAGAGGTACCGAATTTGGGGGAGGGGCACTTCATCCCCAAAACTGAATTGACGATACAACAGAGGGGTTGTGGCCACC